AATTGAATATATGGGGTTCTTTGATATGCTGAATCTAACTATGTATTTTGATTTTGGACATTGGACCATAATAGGTAAATTAAAAAAATTCAAGTTCTTAGACCACATTCTTTCTGTGTCAGAAACCTATGCTGTGTCAAATATTTAATAACAATCCAAATTCAGAGCTGTATCAAGCTTGAATGTTGTGTCCATACTTGCCCCAACTGTTCAGGGTTCGACCTCTGCGGTCGTATCAAGCTACATTTTACAGTACATGTATACCTATATATATCAACCAATAAATCATGTAGATAATTATTTTTGGCCTTTTTATACCTGATATCTTACAAAATTTTGATAAACATAATACTCTGTATACCCATATATAAATAGGCCACAATAGTAGTGGGTTTCAGTTAAGTGGAAAATTGTGTAAATTTGATGAAGTAATTTTTTTAAATGTCATGATTATCAAGAAGCTGTCTTAACCCTTGTTAGGAAATGATTATTTGGTTGGAGATTAAAAACATATTTTGGTGTACTTTTGTTATATAAAACGCCATTCTTGGCAACTTGGAGACTAAAATAATTTTCTTAATATTTGATTTGATTTGATGCCTTGGTTTGCCCTGGACTAGGGACTGTGGATTCAGTATTATTCGTGGGGTACCAATCTTTGTTAAATTCGTGGGTACAGATAAACCACGAATTTAAATGTTCAACATTTTCTATAAGGTTGTATGCAGACATTGACAAACCATGAAATCAAATATCCACGAAGGTGCAAGTTTTTCTCAATCCACGAAAAATTGGTTCCCTCGTAAATAAATGAATCCACAGTAACTGGTTATCATCAGCGTAAATTGACATGTGTCAACAAAGCTATTGTTATAAAAAATATGTCAAGAATTTAAATTTACATTCAAGCAACTAGAGCAATTCTCTAAGAGAATATAAAATATGTCTTTTCACCGAATTTTCTATAAGTTCTTATATACCCAAGTGGTTTACTTTTTATTCAAACTATTGATTACGTACATATTTTTTTCTCCCTGGCAAAAATTTGCAAATCCGAATGGAGATTAAAAACACAATGCAAGTTGGGAAGTCAACTTCAATTATACAGTGGTTTCAAAGAAAATAGCACATGAGAGATTCTGTTAAACAGGAAATTAAACTTTTGGACTTAGTAATCAATTTTTGGTTTGATTACAGCGGATTCAATTCACATATTACAGTACTCCTTCATTAATGTCCCTAGAATTTAACGTAATCTGTTGGTAGCAATATTTCATGTAATAATAAACATTGTCATGAGTCATTATGATAATGAAGGAGGGATTCTAATATAGGTCCAGATCTAAGCTACTTAAAGTTAAAGAGGAATGATAATTTGTCAACTTTGTATCTTGGATTATACAAAAACTTGGTCACTATGACCTATTTTTTTTATGCGAGAGTAATTCCTGTTATATTTGAAGTTCAAAATTTAGTTAAGGAATGACGTGTAGCGGGTTATTTAAAAGGGGGCACCACATTTTTGATGTTATTTCGAATAGACAGAAAAAATATTACAGTCATTCCTTATAATTTAATTCTAAAATTCCATTTTAAGGAGTAAATCATGAAGAAACGTTGATGACGTTACGGTCACATGACAAAAATTATGTCTATGAGCTGATAGACAAAAAACTTTCAGCCAATCAGAATACGTGTTACTAGCAAAATTTTAAATTATTCAAATATGTTGTAATTAATTGGCAGGATAAGGTATCATTTATTGTGACTTAATTTGTATATAACGTTAATGGAAAACAGTGTTCCATCTTAATAAAATGGAAGTTTTCTTTTTGAAATTAGTTTAAATACCCATCTCGAAATTATATTAAACTGTAAAAATCAAATTACAGGCTTTAATTGTCAGTGTAATACTTAATGCTTGTTAAAGTTCTTTGGTAATGTAACTGAAAGCTTCTGTTTTTGCAGAACTAATTGGCAGTATTATATGAAACTGCCCAACTAGTTCCACTGTTGCATACAATAAGAGAAAAGAAAACAACCGTTTGATTCTAGTTATCTTCCCATAACTGATAATTATTTCAGAAAACCTCTTTACCCTGGAGCAGAAATTGCAATGTAATAGTACATGGTAAGATCTATCAAATGTAAACTTATTACTTATGTAAATCTCTGGAGGTAAACTTTCATTTTCCCACCGATTATTTTCTGTAATTACAGCAAATGGAAATTCTTAAATTGTAAATTGTAAAAACTTTGAAAACACCCACACTATTATTTTCTAAGGTTACATGTATAACCTTCGGCTTAACATTTATTTAATTTCCATTATATTTGATCTGTTTAAGTTGAAAACTTTACATAGAACTTTGACCTTTGACAGATTGGAAGATAGAAAAAGGTTTCCTTTATTTACCAACACTGATAAAAAAAACTTGAGATTTAATGGCCCTAGATAAATACGATCACGCTTAAGTTAAGCATTGTTACGGAACGTCAAGTTCCTATTTTAAGAAAGCATATTTAGAATGCAAAAGAGAAAAAAATTCTAAACCATATGTAAAATTATCTGACAAGTACAATGTAGACTAACATTAAGATTTTGGATTTAGAACACAGTCTTAGAGAAAAGGTTATTAATGATAGATATTTCTATTTACAATGTTAGTTAATATAAGGAAACACTCAAATAAGAGTAAATTTCAAATGTTTTAATCTTGTAAAGGGACCTTTGAATATATGTAAAGTGGAATCCTAATGGACAAGCATGTAAAATGCAGTGTAAAATATTTGACACTAAGAATAAACCAAAATGACTAGTTTGTACAACAGTAAGCAGTGAACTGTGCTGTTGTAACTTCAATTAAAATGCTTAATGTCAAATGTTTTTGGGAAATTCCAGGATTTGAGTTTGGTTTTTTTTTGTATAATTATATGGACTAGTGAATGAAGGTTGATAAATTTATAGTCGGAAAACCCAAAACAAGTGAAATAAAATTTTGATTTTTTTTTTAATTGGAATTTTATAGGATTCTCTGTATGCAGGGTCATCAGGTCTTACAGACCTTTAACAACAGAAAAAAAACTAGATATTATAAAAGTTTTTAACAGCATTTTAAAATGGGGAATATCCTCCAAGGTATTCAAAAATAAATATTGAATCACATTAACAACTTTGGGGAGGGTGGAGAAATATGATCAGTTGGGAAACACCGTAGTCTTTGTATTGGAACTAGTTGATTCTGTGTATATGTTGGTCCCCATAGTCTTTGTATTGGCACTTAGTTAATTCTGTGTACATGTTGGTCCTCTAGATGCCTTTATATGGTTTTTATTTGAATTGCTTTTTTATGGACTTTTACTTAACATTTTCTTTTTTTTAATAGAAAACCTGAACCTCAGTTGTTAAACAAAGATGCATGGTTCAATTCTGTTAAAACTATCAAGACAAAGAACTAATAAAGAGATTCACTAAACTCTGCTTACAAAACAAAGGCTAACTTTAATAGCTTTATATAATAAACTAAAACTGTACGTTGCTTTTTAAACTGTTAGCAATAATCTATTTTTACACACAAAGCGTAGGTTAAAATATAATGCAAAAAAAAACTGTACATGTACAACAACATGGTAGTCCAGTCCACTATTGACTAAGTGTTAAACGTTTTAGACCCTTAAGGGTATATGTTTGTTTATGGTTTGTTGGAAAGATTAGCCAATATTTACAGAAGGTCCATTAGTTTTACTGATCCTGTGTAAATATTGTATTTCATCTAGAGCCTTTCACCAGCAATATACTGCCACAAAAGAAAAGTCAGAATTTGTATATTTACACTCATTCATTCACAAGAGGAATTTTTTCGTGTTCATTTCACACTGGGTGTTTTGTTAGTAGTATATATTTTTGGAAGTTCTTAGGTCTGTTTTAATGGTAAGTTTTTATTTGGTTGTGTTTATTGATATCATTAACAAGTCCTATGTGTGTGTGTTTGTACTCTTATGTGTTTTGTCTGTGTTTAAAAAGTTTTGTTTTGGTTACTGAAAGTTAATTACATAGATTTTATATAGTCCATATTTTAATTTTTTCCTACATTTGGACTACTGATATGTTGTGTAACTTTGCTGTTTTGTTTCTGCCAGCAAAATATTCTACAATAGTTATTTTAATGGGTCTTACGTTAAAAACTGGTACAGGTAAATTTAATCACAATTCTTGTTGTTATAACGAAAGTTTTCCTGTGTCTGTTATAGTAATGAATTCAGATTGAAATTACTGCTGTTAGGCAAGAGTACAGATGATATATATGGAAGTCTAAATTTAAAGGGTCATTTTTTAAATGAATATCATGTGAGACGAAGTTATATATAGTCTATATGACCCATGGTGTAATATATACTCTATAAACAAACTTGAAGACAGTGTTGATATTTCATAGAATGGTAATTTTGATATTTACTGTGAAATTTAAGAACAGAATGGTTAGAATAAATTAATCTGACCGACTTGTGAACAAATACTTGACCTTTTAAAGTGGTTAAATAGTAATGCTATTTACTAAATAAATTGTTTGATTTTTTTTTTTACATTTGAAATATATATCGACGAACAAGTCAACAAGAAAGTTTATATAGAAGAGATACCTCAGCTTAGTAGGTCTTGGAAGTTTAAGTATTATCATTTTGCACAATTTGTTTTGAAACTTCATGTATGTATGTGAACTTTGCAGTGTATTAGTAGTACACACTGCATTCAATCTTCTCAAAATCCTCAGACATTTAAAAGATATTGTACTTTCATGAGCAACACAACGGGTGACATATGTGGAGCAGGATCTGCTTAACCTTCCGGAGCATCTGAGATCACCCCAGATATTAAGTTTATATTATAATTTTTTTTTACAAACAGCTGAATCCCTTGTCATGAGAAGGCTTGGAGTGCAGAATGAAGAAAAATGGGTAACAAAGCATCCATCAGTTCAAACTAATTGTTTCTTTTTCAGAAAACAAAGAATATGCTGAAGATTATGCAATGGGAGGTACAGATATGAACTCTGATCGACTGCTTCACAATGACAATGACCCGGTTCAGACCAGGTCAAACGATTATCATACAGAAGGTCAAGACAAACACCCAAAAAGAAAAATAGCAGCAGGCCACCCTCCACCTTCATACAAAGGTAACATTTTACATAACTGAATGGGATACTAGAGTTTTTTGTAATGATTAACATTTTCAAAAATTTCATTGATTGACAGTAGGATTTATCAGAATGGAAAGTAAAATTGGACGTTGACATAGGATCTTCATTGTAATCAGATTAATAAACCTTTTTCATACAAAGTAGTACATAAGCACTTTCATGTAAAAAATTATTAAAAATGATAAGATCTTTTTATCAGTTTAACGATTTGTCATTTGTTGTCTTTCACATTATTCTATTGAAAAAAATGAGAGCTACTACAGGTTTACAGAATTCATTTGTAATAATTATATTTGATGATGCAGGCTTAAAAATTACATGACATCAAACAGCAATGAAAATTTTAATTTCGTATTTATCACCGGACTTGAAAAGCCACCGTAACAGTTAATCATGCAGACAATGTACCGACAATAATGACAGATTTCTTTCATCAACAGAATTAATGTCACTGTTTTATCCTGTCAAAGTAAAATAGATGAAATATTTCCATGTCTTTTTCATTGTACGTTTCTAAAGAAAATCACTGCCTGATTATGTAATATTGACTGCCATGCAATGTTGAATCTCCTTTATAGAAAGTAATTACCATTGTTACACGCTGATGAGAAGTCGTTTTATTGATATCCGTTTGTTCTAATCAATTGTTAATAAAACTTGTGTAGCATTTTATTAAGATGTTTTAAGGATGGAGTTTTCGTTATCATATTCCTGCTGGAAAGATATTGGATTTGATTGGATAGTTGATGGTTTGCAAATTGCTAAATATAGACGTGTAAAATTGAATTATTTCTTTGTTTTAATCAAGAAAAATTGCGACCTTGTTAAAATGGGAATGAATTGTGAAAATGATTTTCTTTATGTACAAGAAGTGCAAAATTAGAAAAAAATAATAAGTTTATGCATATGATATACTGACTTTAAAAATACCATCGAAAGTATATGATTTATGATTAATACAACTATATGATGCTTCCTGCAGTCCATAACTGATCAAAAGATGCTCTCGATGAATTTGAATTCAATAAAACACTAGTAAATTGATGATGGATACTGTAGATTTATTTATTATTGTGGGAAACCAATTTTCTTAGATTGATGAAAAATTGTGTTTTTGTGTATATTTGATTTCGTGGTTTCGCCAAAGTCTGCATACAAATCTATAGTGAATTGTACTTCGTTGAACTTTTAAATTCCTGGTTCTCCTATACCCCCGAAATCCCCCAAAATAGATATCCCACGAATAAAAATGAATCTACAGTAATTAAAATTCACTCTTATGGTAAGAACAAGTAGAAAAGGTTCAACTATTCAACTATACTGACACAAATAATGCATTTTCAGTGGTATTTTTAAACTTTATGTAACTCTTATCCCCCTAGGATACTATCTCAATAGATATCCAACTGTAGTGTACTAAGTTTTTCTAAGTCTGAAAGTAGTTTCTACTGTTTCATTTGTGTTAATTCCATTTATAATAGATTTTTATTTCTGAAATTTGCTGAGTCCTGGTTATATGTAAAAAGAAGAGATAGGTTTAACTGTCACAAGATAAAACAAAATCCAGGTGTTTATAGTATTATAAGACTCATGCTGTGTAAGTGTTATCCTCTATTATGTAATGTTGTGTTTCGATGCACTGTGGATTACAGTCTGAACTGTGGATCTTATGAGAAGTGTCATAATATATTCGTTACACACAAACCTTTTTTTTTAGGGAAAGCATTGTGAGCCAAATGGACTTATATCGATATTGCGTTGCATAAAGAAAATTTCACTGATTTATATAAAAGTCATCGACTGCAGTTTAATAATAGAATGGATGAATTGATGCATATAATGTCATTACATGCTATATGTGATATAACTTCTCTGATTAAATAATGCTTGTATTTTATAGGTTTTAGTGAAACAGAAGTGAAATATAAACACACGGAAGTAAAGCCATTGAAAGATGGAAAGAAAAAGGACAAGAAAAAGAAAATTCTCAAGGCACAGAAAACACCGGGTTTGTAATTCATTGAAAAAGAGTAAAATAAGTTGTTTTTTGTTCTTTCTTTTTCGGAGGGGGAGGGGAAAGAGAGTCCTATTTATATGTCTCAAGCTTTTAAGGTAAAAATTGTAGGTTAAAGAAATTCCTGTGGTTATCAATTTTTCAGTTGAATATTTTACTGATGCTTGATTTATGAAACAATTAAAAATTTGACTTTAAAGAAGGCTTGTAGAGTCTTATATCGTGAAGATTTTCATTTTATTTTGATTAAGGATGTATTATAAGGTGTTTGATGATAAATTTATTCTGTAGCAACATTAAACAATGACAACAGTAAGAAAGTACAGACAAGTTAGTCCCTTTTCCCACCCTACCTTACTTTCTTTTTACATTCCCCAAGTCTTATTGTGTCTTTCACTTCTGGTCTCCTATCAATCCTTTTTTCTAGACTTCTTATTCCCTTGTCCAATCTTATTCCCTTGTCCAATCTCATTCCCTTGTCCAATCTTATTCCCTTGTCCAATCTTATTCCCTTGTCCACTTATTCCCTTGTCCAATCTTATTCCCTTGTCCAATCTTATTCCCTTGTCCAATCTTATTCCCTTGTCCACTTATTCCCTTGTCCACTTATTCCCTTGTCCAATCTTATTCCCTTGTCCACTTTTTCCCTTGTTTAATCTTATTCCCTTGTCCAATTGTCCAATCTTATTCCCTTGTCCAATCTCATTCCCTTGTCCAATCTTATTCCCTTGTCCAATCTTATTCCCTTGTCCACTTATTCCCTTGTCCAATCTTATTCCCTTGTCCAATCTTATTCCCTTGTCCACTTATTCCCTTGTCCACTTATTCTTGTCCACTTTTTCCCTTATTTAATCTTATTCCCTTGTCCAATTGTCCAATCTTATTCCCTTGTCCAATCTCATTCCCTTGTCCAATCTTATTCCCTTGTCCAATCTTATTCCCTTGTCCACTTATTCCCTTGTCCAATCTTAATCCCCGTGTCCAATCTTATTCCCTTGTCCACTTATTCCCTTGTCCAATCTTATTCCCTTGTCCACTTTTTCCCTTGTTTAATCTTTTTCCCTTGTCCAATTGTCCAATCTTATTCCCTTGTCCAATCTTATTCCCTTGTCCAATCTTATTCCCTTGTCCACTTATTCCCTTGTCCACTTATTCCCTTGTCCAATCTTATTCCCTTGTCCACTTTTTCCCTTGTTTAATCTTATTCCCTTGTCCAATTGTCCAATCTTATTCCCTTGTCCAATCTCATTCCCTTGTCCAATCTTATTCCCTTGTCCAATCTTATTCCCTTGTCCACTTATTCCCTTGTCCACTTATTCCCTTGTCCAATCTTATTCCCTTGTCCACTTTTTCCCTTGTTTAATCTTATTCCCTTGTCTAATTGTCCAATCTTATTCCCTTGTCCAATCTCATTCCCTTGTCCAATCTTATTCCCTTGTCCAATCTTATTCCCTTGTCCACTTATTCCCTTGTCCACTTATTCCCTTGTCCAATCTTATTCCCTTGTCCACTTTTTCCCTTGTTTAATCTTATTCCCTTGTCCAATTGTCCAATCTTATTCCCTTGTCCAATCTCATTCCCTTGTCTAATCTTATTCCCTTGTCCAATCTTATTCCCTTGTCCAATCTTATTCCCTTGTCCACTTATTCCCTTGTCCAATCTTATTCCCTTGTCCAATCTTATTCCCTTGTCCAATCTTATTCCCTTGTCCACTTATTCCCTTGTCCAATCTTATTCCCTTGTCCACTTATTCCCTTGTCCAATCTTATTCCCTTGTCCACTTATTCCCTTGTTTAATCTTATTCCCTTGTCCAATTGTCTAATCTTATTCCCTTGTCCAATCTCATTCCCTTGTCTAATCTTATTCCCTTGTCCAATCTTATTCCCTTGTCCAATCTTATTCCCTTGTCCAATCTCATTCCCTTGTCCAATCTCATTCCCTTGTCCAATCTTATTCCCTTGTCCAATCTTATTCCCTTGTCCAATCTTATTCCCTTGTCCAATCTTATTCCCTTGTCCACTTATTCCCTTGTCCAATCTTATTCCCTTGTCCACTTATTCCCTTGTCCAATCTTATTCCCTTGTCCACTTATTCCCTTGTTTAATCTTATTCCCTTGTCCAATTGTCTAATCTTATTCCCTTGTCCAATCTCATTCCCTTGTCTAATCTTATTCCCTTGTCCAATCTTATTCCCTTGTCCAATCTCATTCCCTTGTCCAATCTCATTCCCTTGTCCAATCTTATTCCCTTGTCCACTTATTCCCTTGTCCACTTATTCCCTTGTCCAATCTTATTCCCTTGTCCAATCTTATTCCCTTGTCCAATCTTATTCCCTTGTCCAATCTTATTCCCTTGTCCAATCTTATTCCCTTGTCCAATCTTATTCCGTTGTCCAATCTTATTCCCTTGTCCAATCTATCATTAATATAGAACATCAGCAACATGTATATCAGTACCCAAATACAGCTTAGTCAAACTTTTATTTTCAGACAAATTTCGTCCCGATTTCAGTTTAAATGTATAACTTTTGATATTTATTTAACAATCATTTTTAAAATTATTTCATCTTTTCATCATGTTTATATTAATGTAAATTTCTATTTTAATTGTTTTATCTACAGAGCCACTGAAAGAAGAAGACCAGGAAAGAAAACTGACCCGTGTTATAGCTAAAGCTAATAAAAAAGATACCAATAAGCAGAAGAAAAATGGTAAGACAACTCGGAAGGCATTTGTAATTTATATTTCTATTGAATTCAGAATAAACAAAAGGCAATGGTTAGCAGATTTAAAAAAAAAATAATTTCATTAAACATTTGTACCTCTGTTTGAAATTAGATGTAATTAAGCGAAAATGATAAGGCACTTGAAAATTTGTCGTATTAGAATCTAAATGACTGTGTTACCCCAAAATGAAAATTACATCACGTCATTGGTTGAATTTACATTGTTTTGGACAATGTTAGCTAATCACAACGTTTTGGTGTATGCTTTTGTAATTATCAAGATTACATCTTAAGAGGGGGAAATGAGAAGATTCCTAGTGGAGCAATCAAAAATTATGTCGGAAGTAGGACAGACAAAGTGACAGTATATTGACAAAATTTCACTTGTTAAATACCAATGAAACAAGAATGAGTACCCTCATTTTTCTTTTCATTCCAAGAAAGTGACTGATCTGTGTAATGTCCCCCAAAAAACATATGTATTAGTTTTATTCACTAAAGAATGATTTTCCCATATACAATCTATATAAAATTGATAAATTTTTAACCCTACATTTCTGAGAACAATGACCTTTTAAACTTAATATTGAAAATGTACATGCATTTAATTCTCTCAGGAAAAACTAAAAAAAATTGTATATAAATATTTAGTGTCTATATTACTCTGGTAAATTGGAATTTACTTAACCTTAATGTAAAACCTATTAAGTGTTTACAAATAATTACCAACTTTAATCAGAAATAATTTAACTCAAGTGTGGACACCTTTGGTGTAAACCAACATTTACCCAAGTTAATCAAAATTCAATTTATAGCTAGATTTGCCCAGTGTCTAGTGACCAGTCTAAGCCAAAAAATATGCAGGATAATGAAAAAATAAAAGGAGTAAAATTCTATAAAATTCTGCATAAAGTATTAAAATTTTTATGATATGTTATAAATACTGAGATATATACTTACTTGTGTGTAATAAACAAGATCGTTGAGAGTGGAAATTAGCATTTATGTCTTAAAAACAAAGTAAAGTTCTACAGTACAGGAAGGATTGTTAATAAAACAAGTGTTCTGGTATGACTAACTTCTTTATGGCATGAAAGTTCTTAAAATTAACTATTTGAAAACTTTTTTTATTTGCAGAAATTATAACGACATCTTCATGGAGAGCTGGACAAGAATTGGTAATGAGGGAGTTAGGGCCATTAAAAACACGTAGAACATCACAGACTTCTCAACCAGGTATGAATGATGGAAACAATCAGGACCTTTAAAAAGTTTTTTAAAAACTTATAAAATCTTGTACGTGTCATGTTGACTATAACAGTATTGAAATTTTCCTTTTGGAATAGTGGATTCTACGGGTTATGTTTTTCATTGATATTTTGGAAGACCAGATGCACCAGACTAAACAAATAGGAAAGAAGGTGGTGTGTACTGGTTTCAAGGTTTTTGTCGAGCCTTCGACTTTAGTCGAAAAAGCGAGACATAGCGATCCTACATTCCGTCGGCGTCGGCGGCGTCCACAAATATTCACTCTGTGGTTAAAGTTTTTGAAATTTTAATAACTTTCTTAAACTATCCTGGATTTCTACCAAACTTGGACAGAAGCTTGTTTATGATCATAAGATAGTATCCAGAAGTAAATTTTGTAAAAATAAAATTCCATTTTTTCCGTATTTTATTTATAAATGGACTTAGTTTTTCTGCCAGGAAATATTACATTCACTCTGTGGTTAAAGTTTTTAAAATTTTAATTACTTTCTTAAACTATCCTGCATTCCAACCAAACTTGGACAGAAGCTTGTTTATGATCATAAGATAGTATCCAGAAGTAAATTTTGTAAAAAAAAAAATCTATTTTTTCCTTATTTTACTTTTAAATGGACTTAGATTTTCTGCCAGGAAACAACACATTCACTCTGTGGTTAAAGTTTTTAAAATTTTGATAACTTTCTTATACTATTTTGGATTTGTACCAAACTTGGACAGAAGATTGTTTATGATCAAAAGCTAGTATCTAGAAGGAAATTTTGTAAAAAAATAAATCCATTTTTTCCGTATTTTACTTTTAAATGGACTTAGATTTTCTGCCAGGAAACAACACATTCACTCTGTGGTTAAAGTTTTTAAAATTTTAATAACTTTCTTATACTATTCTGGATTTGTACCAAACTTGGACAGAAGCTTGTTTATGATCAAATGCTAGTATCTAGAAGGAAATTTTGTTTTCTTTCAGTTAACATTACATTCAGTCTGCAGTTAAAGTTTTTAAACATTTATTAGATTCATAAACTATCCTGGATTTTTACCAAACTTGGACAGAAGCTTCTTACAATCAAAAGATAGTATCAAGAGGAATATTTTTATTGATTTACTTCCTCATTTTTGTTGAGCCTGCGATTAACAGAAAAAGTAGGCGAGACACTGGGTTCCGTGGAACCCTTACGAATTTTTTTTTTTTTTTTACCAGTGAGTGCAGTTATAATCTCATCAACGTATATATTTTTGGAAAATCATGAAGATTCATTATTACGCATAGGTTACCAATTTTTGTTGATTTCGTGGATATCAGTTCAGCATGAATTTAAATGTTCAATGTAGTACCAATTTTTTAAAGGGTTGTATGTTGACTTTGGCAATAGTTCTTAATCAAATATCTACGAATATAATATAAATTTTCCACAATCCACAATCATTGGGTCCCACTAACATATATGAATCCACAGTAGGGTGCTCAAATTGATTTTTCACAGACAATAGATATAAAGAAGATGTGGTATGAGTGCCAATGAGACAATCTCCATCCAAGTCGAAATTTATAAAAGTAAACCATTATAGGTCAAAGTACGGTCTTCAACACGGAGCCTTGACTCACACCGAACAGCAAGCATGGATTATAAAATCGACACAATTAAATTGTTTCATATTTTTTTCATGTCGGAACCTTTTATAGCCGACTATACAGACAGTATGGGTTTTTCTCATTGTTGAAGGCCGTAAGATTGCCTATGATTGCTTACATCCACTTCATTTGAACTTGGGTGGAAAGTTGTCTCATTGGCAATCATACCACATCTCCTTATTTTTATACATGCCTTTATGGTATTTTTGTTTGTGTTGTGTTGCTGCCCTATTGATACCCCATATCTTATTTCAGTCAAATTTTCATTGAAGTTATCTCGCACAAAGGTGTTTTGTTGTTATGTCATAAACAATTTAATGCTGTATTCAATGAGGCAGACATCAGATAAAGAAATGATCACTAGATGACTGTTAAATACTTCAACGTAACCTTAAAAGCATTCTCTTTTACGTTTAAAACTTTTAGTTAATTGGTACTCATAGTATAAATATTTTTCTTTTGATTTTTTTGAGTCGTTAGGTCGCTGTCTCATTGACGTATATTCTATATTTTCTTTATAACGATATAATAAGTTTTGCGTAATTACAATGAAGTAAACAAAGTTCTTTACGTTTTTTTATCATTTGTCAAGACAGATCAGATAAAAATTAAATGTCTGATCAGATAAAATTAGTATTATATCATTATCAAGTTTTAATGATATAATTTCAGTTTTAGGTCAGAGTTGTCAGTTTAATTCATTTTTGTCTTTCTTTTTTTCGTTTTTTTGAATTCTTAGAACTTATAATTGAATTATGACGTTAGTTCAGGCGTAGATGTGCATCACATTGAATGTAATTATGCTTGTCATGCCTTTATAAAAGGGAGAAGGGTGTTCTGTTTTATAAAAGAAAATCTAAATTTATATCAAAGGTGAATTGAAGAAATGTGAACTCATCTGTTTAAGTGTGAAGTATTTAATAACAGAGTTATTAAATGCTTTCATATATTTAAATTGAATAATATGCATAGAATTAATTGTTGGTAGCCTGATATAGTATGATAAAGTATTGTTCAGTAAATACCATGTCTTGATATATAAAACATATTTATGTCAAGAATAATTTTGCAATAATTGCTTACTTTGCATTTAGTAATTGGATTTGTGTGGGGCATTTTGACATGATTTGTTATCTGCGATAAATCTTTTTTTCCTACCAAAATTTTTACCCAGTGGCAGGAAAAAACTTTCAGTTCATAGTCTGAGAGAATTGTCTTGTTTAATATGTTTTTCCTCTTATTTACCTTCAGTATGGAATTGAGTATTCAAAAATCAAATGGAACAAGCAATCGAAACATTGATCTCCCCCCCCCCCCCCCCCCCCCCCCCCCCCCCAAAAAAAAAAATCGGCACAAATGTTGCAAATTTTGCCTCATTGTTATGATGATTTTATCTCTGAAATAAAAAGCATAGCACGTCAATTTCATTATTCTGTTTTCTATGTTTGCATTATAGATTACTATCTTTATTAATTTTCAATTGCTAAATGTCCTGTGGCAAGTTTCATGCATATTCAGGATGCAGACAGTTGACAGTATATCAATTCAGTATTTGAAAAGTGAATGAGAAAGATGAATATTTGACTCATATTTAAGCTTACAACAAATCAGATATAGTCCCCATAGAAGAGGTAGGATGCTTAAATGAACAAAGAATATGACATTCCCAAAAAATGCCTTGGATTGTTCATCTCCAAACAGTCTGAATGTATAATTATGTTGGACTTGCATACAAATAGACAGCTCCTTTGCATGGATTCTATTGCCTGACAGAAGCCAATATAGCCATATTTTTTATGCCCCAGCCACCCTTGCAGTGATTCATTCCTTTTTATTGGTAAAAAACATTATTTGAAATTTCCTCTTTGAATGCTCTAGTATAGACTTCATTACAAGTTAAATGTATTGAGAACTTGTCACAGTGTACTACTCTTTACAGGTGACATTGACCGAGGATCACATATGCCTGATGGGGCGTACGGAGGAGCTGAGGAACCCGAACCCCAAGAGAGGAAAACAGCAACAGACATGGAGTTAGAAAGAGCCAGAGTTTTATCGGCTGAAGCAAGACGTGTTCTCAGTGATCTTAATATGGGTGAGTGAATTGTCATGAGATATCTTGAGTAAACATTTAGCTTACCTCTTTCCTAAGTCAAGTAACCTCTTAGTTGTCTCATTGGTATATTCTTACCTCTATTGTATTGAAGGTTATTGGGTTCTATCCTCAGCAGAGTCAAACCAAAGACTTGAAAAATGGTATTTGCTTCTTCCCTTAAGATTTATTACAATTTCAATTGTTAATGGAAATTTACAGGATAGGGTTTTGAAGAACAAGTTTTTTGAGGGAAGTTTTTCTATCAATATTTACATACATATATACATTTATACCTGCATTGTTCAGAAATTTAATTTTTATACTGTGACAATTCTGGACTGATAATTGTTATTATTTAATGTGTTATTAATTGTATTTAAACATAAATTTATTTGAATATTGCCGGGTGGTCAACTTCTCGGGGTGCACAAACACTGATAAATGCATTGACTTTCATACTCATGATTTAAACCATTTATACTTTACAAGTGATAAGGGCCAGTTTTATATGTATATCTATGTAATGGTTACCTATGAAATACTTTGATTATCATGTCAAATAGTGATTTATCTTGACTAATCTTGTCGTGAAATTCAACTTGTTTACATCCGCCATGACACCGTTCTGTACTTTCACTTTGCGATCTCATATCATTATTTGTTTAAGTTAACATCTTATCAATGCAGATAAATTGCGTATTTATTATGTTTGTGCCTCCCTTTTCATTAACATTGTCTATATTTATGATAGGATAGGGTTTTCATTGATCTCATTTAAGCATTATATCCAATGCGTATGGTTTTAGAAATTACACCTAAGTTCCTACGCCGTATTGAGAAAGGAATTTACTGTCCATTTAAAAATAGCATTATATAGAAATGTCCTTTTAGTTTTATTCGCTTTTAAATATAATTCGGACAAGAAGGACAAAGTAAGGACTACTTAATAACGTTTCTTTATTTATGAATAACGAAATATGTTTGTCTTTCTAAACGTTACTAGCCAAAAGACGTAAGAAATGTTGCTTTTGATTGGATGATTTGACATTTACTCTTACGTCATCGTTAGTGCAAAAATACATAAATAGGAGCCTGCAGAATAACATGGCAGTCTGAATCAATCCTTTCAACCATCAACTACATTTTAAAATATCCAAATAGAAAATCGAATAATCAAAGTTAAATGAGAAAGGTACAAACAATAATTTAAATACTTTTATCTATATTTAGATATTAATCTTTTTAGCGAAATTAAACTTTTAGCGTTAAACTGCCATTCTTTACCGAACGGGATTTACAAGTCATTTCTATTGTCCATTGATAAAGAGACCCTTACTTAGGTGATTTTCCAGTGTGTTTCTCAAAGTCCACAGGTTATAATTAGTCTTAAGTTATAGTGACCACCCGGTGCATTGTTTTGTCTGTTGATTGCTGAATGTGTATTTGTTGTTATTGAAATAACAAGTCAAAAATACTGCTGAAATAAATTTTATTGTTACGTTTATTACGAATCTGTTTCTTCACACTGGCGTTGAGTTAAAAGATTATTCCACTCCTCCTGAATGAGTTAAACAGTGTTTTATCAACCCTAGGTTTGTTACAATATGCCCGTTTACAGAACATATTATGGTATACCTTTGTCCGTCGGACAATAACTCACAAACGCTTTAACCAATTTGCATGAAACTTTGGTGAATTGTTAATATCTTTTGTCGTGAGCTCCCTTTCGATTTTTATAAATTTTAGAATTTACGTTTCTGAGTTCTGGGGTTTTATTCATTAAAAAAGGGGGATTTTTCCAGTTTTCGGACAATACCTCAAAAATGCTTTGAACAGTTTTCATGAAACTTTGCTGATTGTTTTATATCTATTGAAAAAGCTAAGGGTGTATCATGCGCTCATGGTACAGCTGTTTATTGTTTATGTCAGGAAATATAAGAATAATATTTGTCATTTGTTTTGATATTTCTGATGCAATTCTGCTTGTTCTAGTTGCATGTAGAAATCATAAAAATCTAAGAGATAGCTCCTTTATGTACCATGATTAATATATTTCTATGTATTATTAATAAGTTATATTTCATGTATATGCATTTATTATTTCTATTTAATTAACCGCTTATCGTGAAAAAACATTAATTTTCAATTCTCCGAACATTCAGATCTCTGGGGAAGCATTTTCCAAATTGTAGATTAAATTATTCAAAACTCAGAATCTAAATGATACCTTCCAGATAGTTGTATTGAAAAGTCATTTATAAAGATAAATGTTAATTATATAATATAAAATTGACATTTATTTGATATGGGACTTTATCGACATTGGCTAAATTCCCAAAAATCAATTGGAGTATTACCAATTCTAATACTGACAGGAGGAACATGAAGGAACACTTCTGTTTATTTTCCTCACGTTGAAGTTTTGTTTATATCGATTTATAAAACACACGTATATCACTATAAAACCTTTTTGTTGATTTAACAACTCAATGGTTCTGATGAAGAAAATTTGGTACGTGTATTCCAGTAAAAAAATATTTCCCCCTTACGTATGTTTTTAAACATGACAAATATTATCTTTTAGTACATATTTAAGTCTTTGATAAACATGAGGTGTTTTTTGTTGACTATAAGTAGTCATATGTCTGTAGTGTTTGGGAAATTTGTGTCTTAAACTTATATAGAAGGAATATACCCCTAGAATTACATGTGGGTTAGTCAGATTATAAGTTTTATATTTCATCAAATTGTATTTTTGATTGAGCGATGAGTTCACTTATGATGTTTAAAAATGTGATGGCTGAAAGTTATTTCTGAAGAACAGCTTTAATAAAAAAGATAATAATCAAAATGTTTAAAGGTTTCATATATCAATAAAAAATGGGGTCAGTAGGTCAACAGAAGACTTGTTTTTTTTTTAAGATTTTTAATCATATATCCCTCTTTTTTTAGTTTTTCCTAAAATTTGCCCTGAAAGATTTTGGATTGGTAGAAAAGATAAGAATGGTCAACAGGAGACTCAAAAAACTTTTACTAACTTTATAGGCAATGGAAATATGCAACATAAAACCAGTCATTCAACTTGCAGACACCTTCTAACTGGCAAATGCCACTTACCAATCAAGAATTATCTCCCCTGAACCTCTGGTTTTCAGTCATTACAAGCTGCAGACAAAATAAGCAGACTCTTTTTCTGCATGACTGGTTCAAAATTGACTTTTGGTAAAGTGATTATTGGAAAAGGACCAGATGACATTTCTTTTTTTGTCCTTCAGGAAAGTTCAGTCTTTTTCTCTCTAAATTCTAATTCTTGGAAATATATGTTCTTTCAAGAATTTGGCCATAAATTTGGTTCTTTCATAGAAGTAAAGATTGATTCATTCCTTTTCAAGGATAATTGGATTAAAGTACATTTACAAGAAGACATTTTCATTTAAAACCATAAAATTTATTACCAGTGAAATTGAATATTTCAAATGTGATAAAAGCACTTGATCAAATAAATCTAAATAACAAAATCAGTATGTGATAAATTGACAATTATAATTTTGGCAGAATCTATTTGACGTAATTTTCTCCTAAAGAACATTGATGACAATCATGTTTAATGCCGCCACATTCTGTCCCAAGTCCTGTAATTCAGTGGTTGTCCTTGGTTGCTGAATGTCATCTGTTTTTCGTTAATTGTTTTGTCATAAATTAGGAGGTGGGTTGCTGTCTCTTATATTTGTTTTTCATTTGTCATAAATGGTTGGTTTTCTCTTTTGAATTGTTTCACATTTTGTCATGTCAATGGTTTTTGTAGCTGACTATATGGTAAGGGTTATGCTCATTGTTGAAGGTTGTACAATGACCATGTCATTTGAATTCTGGTGAATAGTTGTCTCATTGTCGATCATACCACATCTTATTTTTATATTGATATTTAGTAGAATATGTAACTTCTCAAACTTAATATGTTTAAAACAGGATATTACTATCATACTCCTTTATTCATACAAAATATCAGTGGTTTCATGTACAAAATATCGTGAAAATGTAAATGAAAAAACATCAAAGTACAACCGCTTATGTAAAATAAATTGAATGAATAGAATTTTAATGGTTGAGAAACGTAACAAAAGGACATTTTACTATTGACAATTTAATTTCAGTAATGATTATTGATATGTATGTTAAAAGAAGGTTTTATGAAATGTGGTAATAAAATGAAAATTCTGAATTTTTGTGTAAATTTTTAGATGATGAAGAGAGAAGAAGGGAAGAGTCATCAAAGAGAGCAAAGTCTGCAACAAAACGGAAAGCACCAAAACCTTCAGGTATTATTTTTAAAGTTATTTTAATAAAGGCTATTAGATAAATGCATAAAGTGTTGAATGGTATTATTTGTGGAGCCTATAACTATATCTGCCAACATATACAGATTATTACCGTAAGCTGTGAATATTATGGTATTTTTGGAATAATTCTTTCTCATCTTTCACTCAAACTTACTACAACAAATTGTACAATCATCTGTAAAGTAGAACTTTGCAAATTATTAAAAATTAGAAGCAATTAAAAGGATTTGATGAAATTCGGACACCTGAGTCAAAGTGACAGAGTTTTTTTTCTACTCTGACAACTGATATGAGCAAGATCAGGTGTGAAAAATAATGAGGAGTCTCTACGAACTAAAACCAGTGAAATTTTTACAATATCATGTTAATAAATATTTGGACTACACTTCAATTCGATATTAAATTTAGTGAAATTGACTTTCCAGCAAACTCTTGCTTTGAAATGGCATGTTTTTAGGATTACTTATATCCCCACATTTTTTTTGAAGTTTTTTAATTATCTACTTTATGTTGATTTGATATATTTGAAAAATTGGCCTTTCAATGTAGACTTACTGATTACATTGGAATTATGTCAGATTAGGGTACGACTTTTGGCGTCTTGTTGTGTTCAATGATATATTAGGAAAATTTGATTTAATTTGATGACCATTTGAGGAAATCAAGCTATTTTTAATAGCAGTAAACATATGTTATAAAGCCATTTGTAAGTCTCGGGAATATAGGACTGTCTTTGGTGAAGAAATCAGCATGAAAATGTTCAGAATGTTGTCAATGCTATTTTTCTTCATTTTACATTTTCTCTTCTTTTTCAAAGTACATAACTTAGGTTGAAAAATAAAAAATCAATTACGAACTCCAAATCTCTAAATAAATTTAAAATTGATTGGTAATCCATGTAAATAGAAAAATATTTTTGATTAATTCATAAAGGTCACGTCGTAATGTTGACTCAGATGTTAAATCATATATCCATTTACATTTCTTTTTGATTTATGTAGTATAGAACTTAAAATTGACAGAATACAACTTAAATACAAAATACAAATACAAATATTTTAAAGTTAAACCTTAACTTTTACTCTGGTAAATAGAATTTTATAAAATAATCACATTATAACCCATTCCCCCCTTCTGCCAACTATATTTAAGGAATTGAGTTTATAGGGTATGTTTGAAGGTGAAAGTTTTGCTAGGCTGAATAATATTAATTGTGCCAGGTATATTTGTTGCCGGCCATTAGAGTCTGGTGGCAATCAAGGTTAAAATGTTTATCTTCAAGGTCAATGACATTATCTTAGTTCAACTAAATATACTACTTTACATATGTTATATGACATCAAAATATTCAAAAGTCAGTTTTTCAAAGTATTTGAAAGCCTTGAATGATATTGATAATATTTAGTGTCATTCATGTCCACCACCTGAGGGTATGGTGATGAGTATGATTAAAAAATCTTTCTTGAGGGGTCAAGGTAACAAACTTAATTCCATATCCAAATTGCATGTTATTTCCATGTCAGAAGTCTTTAATGCCTTGGAAAGATATGAATGATATTTGATCTGGTTGTTCCCTACCACCAGAGAGTTTTCTATGAATAAGATTATAATCTTCTTTTTTTTAATGTCAATTTTCTTTAACGTACATTCAGATGATTGCAGAAGATTTTTTAATAGATTGTTCTTTAGTTTGAATAAAAAGGTTTCTTTAAAAGATTGTACTTTATGATGAATGCATGGAGCTTTGGTCAAATTATATTGCCGTATTTTACTTTGATTTAATAAATAGATGCACACAGTTAGAGCAATTTTCAACAATTAATATCCCTGTATTCCCCTGCTTTCTTCTAAACATGCGTTGAGTTCAGTGTTCAGTTCCAAACAAACCAATTAACTTAAAAAAAAAACTGCTCAGCTTTAAGCCCCATTCAATTAGTTTTATTTTGAGCTACAATTGGTTCTTACTTTTTGGATAAACAAAGTCTCTAAATGGTATTGCATTGTTGATGAATTATAAGCTTGTACATGCAATAATTGGGACATAGTCATATGCTATTTTAAAATGTTATGTGTGGATAAAAATATCTGCACAGTATTTAAATATCTTATTACAAAGTTGGGATCTATTAAAAAGAAATAAGCAAGTGAAAGTAGACTTCTGTCTGGGTTTCTTCTTATATTTTCATAAAAGAAAACATGAAAAATCTAAAACATATTTAATTTTAACAGGCAATTGCTCAGTAGCTTTTGGCTTCAACCCTGTGATAATGATTTTGGAAACTATCCCATACTATCATGAGGTGTTCCAAATTAATTTTTAAAAGTTGACTGGCATCATGCCAAATTTATTCAAGGCCATATTGCCTTATCATGGGTGTACAAACAGTTGCCCATTGATGCAAAAGTTCATCATATGTAAATTGAGAAATGGAAATTCATAAATAGTAAAAATTTGTTTTAACCTTTATGTACTTGTTGTCTAAAAATTTGGTGAAGATTGTTTTTACAGTTAGCAATTAAGGTATTGACCCAAATGTTAATGCCAAGAGACTTTTACATATATCATTTGAATGTGTTCAATGAGCTTTCATAATTAAATTCCATCTTCCAATGTTCTTCCCTGTTCTACATTAAGGTCTTAACGCTTCATCAGATCAGTATATTGACTTCCTTTAAGTGATATTTTTTTCATCGTTTCATGTTATTAATATACCTTAATTACAAGGATAAACCCATTTTAAATGATTTCATGACACTTTTAACGACAGTTCGGAACAGGTAAAGGGAAGGAAAAGATTACGATATTTCATACTTCACTGGTTGTTGTCAGATAAATTTCGTCATAAACTGCATCCATTCATTTTCAGACTACGGCCATTAGGCTTATATTAACCCCACTAGCAGAAATGATGTCAATTGGGGGTATATTGGAAAGTGGAGCATTTTATAATGTATAATGTGTTGAAGCTTGTATTTTGAGTTGCACTTTTTTTTTTTAAAATACCTTTTAATCCACTCCTGTCCTGAACATGCATGAAATATTTGCAGCAAAACTTTAAACAAACAACAATCAATCAGTTTAACTTGTGCCAGTTTAAATTGAATTTCTACTGCAGTCATTACTGCAACAAGGGAATAAAATCTCCATCATTGAAAAAATCTACCCCAGTTATCACAGAGTTTACGAAAAATAGTCGTCCGAAAGATTATGCCATGGACTAGTACATTGAAAAGATTTCAAGAACTCTGGTTATCAAAAAGTTTTAAATTTGTTAATTTTAAAATAAAATTGTTATTTTATATAGCTTAATCTGTTCACATTCTCAATTTTACATATAAAAAAAGTCACCTTTAATTATGAGGCATAACATTGTTACACTAATTGATATTTTGAACAGATAAGTTAATTCCATATATATTTGTTGGAAACCTGTTATTTTAATGATTTTTATGAAACTAATTTTCAGCTCCCCCAAAATAATACCTATTGGACTTTTTTCTCAGTACCTAAAGTTGGTCTTACACCAAATCTCCATTAAATGGGGACACTGAGTGCTAGTCTATTTAGAGAATTATTCCTCCCCACAATAATCAATAGCAGCTTGTTTCAAAGTGGAATGAAGCTTTTATCTAGAATCAGCTAATCTATGTATGGTAGGTGTGTAAACAGAACAATATTTAAATATTTTTAAAACACAGGTTTTATTGATCAGTATTTAATTAAATTTGTACTGTAGTAGTTTTTGATTACTATCAATTTAAAACACAATACTGGGACAAATTCTGTCAATATATATTATCTACACACTTAATGAGGGTCACAAAAGGGACAAGTTACAATGCCACCACCCTTAAAGAAACTTCATAAAAAAAACACAATTGAAAAGTTAATTAATAAAGCCCATATATGTAGCAATCATTTCAATGGTTCTTTGGACATTGGCACAAGTCCAAGAATATATTGTTTGGTCCATAAAAAGGTTCTAAATCTTGACCGAATGACCAGTAAAGATTGAAGGATTTAAAGTACATGTATAACTCTACCTAATTCAGTGAAATATTATTTTTGATCTGAAATGGCTTTTAATTCAAGTGAAGATCTGTTGCCATTTTCACAAAATACTTTTATGGAAAAATAATTGCAAAGTATTGAATTATACAGTATTCAAATTTAGTCTTTTAGATTTTTTTGTTAAAAGAGTTTCTTAGGCTTTAGAAATTACAAATATATATTATTTTGTATAATTATCACCCCGCTTAAAAAAGTGGGGGTATACTGTTTTACCTCCGTCCGTCAGTCTGTCTGTCCGTCCGTCCCAGGAATATTTTTTGTTGCATCTTTCTCAGCATTTTTCTAGTTTCATGACAATAACTTGTGTGTAAGTGTATGGATCTTTCTGAAATTGTACTACAAGGTTCCATATCACAAAGGGAAAGCTGGGGATTTTTTTTTTCTTTAAAATTTTCCATTTTAAGTTGGTTATTTTTTATTAATATATAAAAGCAAATAATAATGATATGGTTTGATTTCATCAAAAATTGAAATATTGGGGTTCTTTGATATGCTGAATTTAACAGTGTATTTAGATTCTTAATTTTTGGTCCCGTTTTCAAATTGGTCTACATTAAGGTCCAAAGGGTCCAAAATTAAACTTAGTTTGATTTTAACAAAAATTGAATTTTTGGGGTTCTTTGTTATGCTGAATCTAACCGTGTATGTATTTAGATTTTGGATATTGGACCATAATAGGTAAATTAAAAATTTTAAGTTCTTAGACCACATTCATTCTGTGTCAGAAACTTATGCTGTGTCAAATATTTAATCACAATCCAAATTCAGAGCTGTATCAAGCTTGAATGTTGTGTCCATACTTGCCCCAACTGTTCAGGGTTCGACCTCTGCAGTTGTATCAAGCTGTGCCCAGTGGAGCAGTTTATTAATATTACTAAAGGATTAACATAATTAGGTTATCCAATTTTTTCTACTGCTCCCTTGGGAGTTAAAGTGTTTGACCTATTTGGTCCCATTACTCAAGTTGCATTTATTGTTAAACATCAAAAATCTCACAGGACATTAAATGAGAAATAATTTAAATTTTAAGTTTTCAAATTGTAGTATATATTTGTAGATTTGTCGATGGTTTTAATGTGGAGATTTAGTTTTCGTAGCTGATATATTTATTTTCTAATCATCACAGTGTATTTATTTTTTCTTTAACAGCTGCAGAAATAGACAAACATTCCCAGATCAAACAACGACATTATGATGCAGAAGAGATTCGCCATTACATACAGAAAAAAAAAGCTGAACGAATACAGAAACAAATAGAAGAAGAAAAACGCCAAAAGAAAGCAGACGAACTTCGACGGAAACAATTAGAGGAATTGTATACAAAACAAAAACAGACAGCATCACATCCTAAAAAATTCAGGGACATAAAACATAAATCCAACAATGAGACATTTTCACATCCTATGGCGCTATCTGACTTGCCAAGACATCATCCTTTCCAACATGAGAGGAGTCGGCAAATGGTAAACACATTGTATAAGATTTAAAAGATACATTAGCTTTGAACTAGGTTGATTTGTGACTAGTATTAATAGTCCTAATGAATCACACGCATAGCCAGAGTTCTTCAAAGGGTTCAAACAAAACCCCTTCCTTGGAAACAAAAAAAATACTAATCAAGACAAATACTTTTAATTCAGATATTAATGCATACATTTATTATTGCGATTTTTGAAGAATGGACAAAAATGCGAAACTAATTATTGTGATTTCAAGAAAATCTGCATACAGATATATGTATCAGATTTCAGAATGCGACTTCTTATTAAATAAATGCTATCCTCACCCAGTCACATTATTCGCAATAATTTCTGAATTTACAGTATATTCAAGTTGAGATTCAGATTGAAGTTTGACAACAAAGTCGGGGCATCATGACCCAAAATAACCCCGTCAGTGAGATCCAGGCTATGGGCCTGTGCATTAACCTTATTTCCTCATTCAAAACCATCTGCACTTATAAATTTGATTCAAAGCCTACACTTCAAAGGGAAAATTTTTACTAGGGAGATAGAAAAAACATCAGTGTGTCAATTTGATGAGATAGTGAATATGAAACTCAAATGCTTCCTTAGCATATGCACTATAAATGACTGAAATGATTTTAGATTGGGTTTTGTTAGATAATGCACATTCCATTTGTAATACCGTAACATGTTATCCTAGGTTAGAATCTCTTTAACCTGAAATTTGTTTGAATGTTGAAAAATCGTCCAAATCAGAATAACTTATGATCTTTAAAAAGTGACTATACATGTAGATATTTCTATAAGACAGTTTGAAAGCTGAATTATTAACTGCCATAAGATGTGTTAAAGCTTGACTACTATAGCCTGGTTTTTTTCTGAATATTGAGTGTCATTATTATGTAATTTATTTGTTTGTTGCTAGAAGTTGTTATTAAAATATTTGAACATTATATAATCATCTGAAATTGTTTAGCGAAAAAATTCTTTTTATTGAACCAATACACATATCAACATCTTAATACACAGGAAGTAAGTGTCGCATTTCAAAAAAAAGTATAGCCATGTAGGACAATCCTTTAAAGGTCTCATTGTACGTTAAATTTCAGCTTAAAAGGGTTTTTGAATATTTTTTTCTAAAGTTTGCCTGTAAGAAAATATTTCATTTTGACATGATATGACAAAGGAAACTGACAAGTTTGTTGAAAGTAGCAAACAAAATGAACAATCTTATGTAACATTTAATTGGATGTAGTTAACTAATTTTGCTGTAATTCTTGGAATCTGCAACTATTTCATTGTTTTTTGCATTTTTTCTTTTATGGTAGAGATAAAATTATATCTTTAGATTATCACCTACTTTTGAATATTGGAAATTAAGTTACAATTGGTTTTGTGTTTACTCCAGGAGAAATGTATGGAGTAAAGTACTTTAAACTGGGAAGATGAATTGATGAAAAGGGAAATCTAACAACTGATATCTGATACTGGTTTATGTTATTATTTATTTTAGATGACAAGTGATTCTGAGAATTTAGCAGCGGACGATGAGATGGAGATGAGCGATGGTAGTTCTACTCTTACGGGTGATTCTATGGATGAAGGAACTCCCTTAGATACTCCTAAAGGGTAAACTTATTTCTAATTGTTACTTTGTGAACATAAATTTATAGAGAACTGTTGCATTTGAATGTATTCAAGAAATTACTGAAAATAAGCTATTTATACATTTTCAGTACCTTTTCTTTAAAATGAAAAAAGGACAAATATACCCTTTAATAGAAGAATTCTATGCAACTGTCATACAAGTGAGAGAGAGGTTCAGCTAGCTATAAAACCAGGTTTAATCCACCATTTTCTACAAAGGAATATGACAGTTGTTTTCCATTCGTTAGATGTGTTTGAGCTTTTGATTTTGCCATTTTATAAAGGACTTTCCGTTTCGAATTTGCCTTGGAGTTCGGTATTTTTGTCATTTTACTGTTTAGAATTTATCCTGCAGTTAAAATTTCTTAAACAGTATATGATATCCATAGGAGTGATTTGACAGAGTGTTCTGTTCATGTTATCATTTGAGACAATATGTGATTTCATTGAGAAGGGTGGACATAGCCGGAGATTGTACCTGATTTTCATTTGAAAATGAAAGTGGATGCAAACAAAACGATACTCCCTATTGAAATTTGTAAAAAAAAATATTTAAGAAAATTTTCTTAGAACTATTTTTCCAAAACATTTTGCAATGAAGGTTAATTCAACCTTTTTCATCATTTTACTTTCTTTTTTTTTTGGGGGGGGGGGGAGATTTACCCATCAGAGTTAATTCTCTTGAACACATGCTCATGAAAATGCTTTGATTTTCTGTTTGCAACATTTAGGATTAATTTTGAGTGGATAATTAATTCCATCATACAGCGTACTACATCCACATTTGAACCCTGGTAGATAGTTGTCTCATTGGCAATCATACCACAACTTCTTATTTTTTTGTTAATAGACTTATTTAATGTTAAAATAAATCTAAAAACTCATCAATTAATGTCACTCTCAAAAAAAATTGTGCATGGCTGATATTTTAGTCATATCAAAATTTAACAATTCATGGCTTTTAATTGTCGATAATCCTCTTAAAAAAATAAACATAAATTAAATTTAAGGGCTATATTAAGAAGGTTAATTGCTTTGTAATTGAACATTTAATTTTGAAAACCAGTCATTTTATGAAATATATATTCAAATAATATAGGAGTAAAATTTATATAGGTTAGTTTACTTAAGCTGTAATATATTGACATCTAAAATGGAAAAAAATATAATGAAATATTGAAGTATGTGACCGTGGACTTGAAAACCCTATGATCTGCATTTGATAGATGAATTGGCATGAAAACATTCTGCATAAAAGAAATCATTCCTTTATTCAAGACGTGAAAACTAAAATCTTCCTTTTTGTCCAAATGATTAAAACTGTGTGACACATAGTCCACCCCCTACTGAAATGTTTTGCAGCAGTGTTTTATTCTCTGTCTATTTGGATGTAAACAATTTGAACTAAATAGAAAGTGCCACATAATTCTATTATACATTATGATTGAATAAATATACTTTTGATCACACAAACAATTAGTTCAATATTTTAATAAAATATAAATATTAAAATTCAAACTCGTTTTCTTGGTGGTGTTAAATGTTTTATGCAATATACTTGAACATAAAAGCTCTTTGAAAAATTTGTTTACAGAATTTCTAAAAATGAAATCTATTGTTGGAAACTTGAAAAGCTGAACATCATATTGACTTTATTAAATCAGTTTGCCAATATATATACATGGATAATTTACATTAAACTTAAATATCAAATACTAGGGAAGGCTAGATTTATCATTTTAATCACTTTTTTTTTTAGAATTTCATAACGGTTTTCAAATACAGTGAAAGTGCGGAGAACGTCGCCTATTATGCTTTTCAAAATTTTAAATAAAAGTTGTACGTTATATTGTATATCATTCAAGACATTCAAAGGTACAAATGGTAATTTTTATTCGGTTTATAAGAAATGTTTTACCTACACATTAAGATTCATAAATATTCAAAGGTTAAGACAAGAAAAGGGATCACTTCTAAAGGCCTTTTTGTTTGCATTCTTCCATGGTTTAGATTTGAAATAGACTGCAAAATTTATCTCAAATGTATACTGTTGGTGATTTTAGTTCATAAAAGTGTTTATTAAATAGCATAGTATAACATAATATGAATGTAGAAAGCTAAGTGACATTTCTTTATTTGTTTTCCAGACAAACGGACGACAAGTCGAAACCTAGTCAAACAAGCCAATGGAAAGCCAGTTTACAAAAAGAACATGAATTTCTCATGGAAAATAACAATTCTAAAACTGTTGGTGGATTTACGTTTAATTTAGACAGTGTTTTTAATAAATTTTCTCAGGCTGTAACTAATCAACAAAGTGAAAGTGAAAATAGACCATTATCAGGGAATTCTGGGTACATTGGAGGATCGGCTGTTTTAAACCCTCCCCGTCCTTCAGCAGAAGGCAGTGATAGGACAAGAGAACAAAGGTTACAAGCTATTAAGGAAACAGCAAAACATTTACAAGAAAAAATTCAAAATGAGGCTAGAAAGCTGAAAGGGGAGGTGATTGAAGATGGTAAGTTTTTACAGCTGCCTTTGAAAAGGCTTATAAATTCATCGGGAGACTTATTGGCTTTGCCCCATTTTCATTATTATTAAATTTATATCTATTATTATTAACGCTTCAAATTATTATTTATTGGGGCCTCGGTTGCCAAGTGGTCGAAGTAGTTGAACTACTGTATCACTAGCCTGTCAACACTGAGGTTGTGAGTTTGAATCCCGCACGGGGCAGGAGCACTCGACCCCAATCTTAATTGGCTAGGATTGTCAGTTTTGCTACCAAAGGTCAGTGGTTCTCTCTGGGCACCCCTCCTTCCTCCACCAATAGAAACTGACTGCCACAAAATAGCATAATAGTGCTGAAAGTAGTGTTCAACACCAATCAATCAATCAAGCAATCAATATTTTTTATTGCCATAGTATTGTTATTGGATGACGTTCACTGTATTTCAGATAAAAGTATTAGCATGAGAAAAGTAATTGGTTCAATTTCCCATTCAGTAGTGTTAACACAATGGTGTCTTTTTAAGGTAACTGATCCCTTATTAGTATTATACAGCTTAAAATGTAAACCTTAATATGTGTTTATTGAAGTTTCCTTGAAGCACATTATTAGTATAATTTCCTCTGGTTAGATGTAGGAGTGGTCCCATAACGTCAAGTCGTAATATAGTCCTTCTGCTCGGTTTGACATAAAATTTATAGTTTTATCACCGTCATCAAGGTAAGTTGGGTGTTTAAAAAAAATTCATGAGACTTGTAAATGGTTCTTAAAATACTACCAGGCCTAGGATCTTGTACCTACGCATGTTTAAATCCATGTTAGATGATTTGTACCTATTGAGACAGCATAACTTACGAAACAAACACAATTGACGCATTGCTCGGAAGTTGCATAAACGTCTGTCCTGTATCAGGTTAAAGTTTAGGTTTAAGATAGTGTTCCTTGAAGTTGTAGTCACATCAACTTGAAACTTAGTACAGATGTTTATTATGGTGTGAGCTGTTTAAGATATATGCGAAATTAGGGTTTTGATCTATATTTCATAGGTCACTGACCATGGAATGTGATAGAGTGAGCGTAGGACATATAATTTTTTTTTTATCCTGTCTGTATACAGAAACAAATTGCTAGATGAATGTGTCTGATATACTGATGGGCTGTTGACAAACAGCTGTTTGGCTGATTTTGTCATTAAAATTTTCTTTTTGGAAAATGAATTGACATTTTGTCTCAAGTCAAGAGCCTGTTACTCAGTATTTTTCATTGGTTTCTGTATGTCATATATATTCTTCATTTATTACTTTGTCATATCAGGGCCTTTTATAGCTTTCTATTGGTTGTGCTCATTGTTGAAGGCTGTAGGGTGACCTATAGTTGCTGATATCCCTGTCATTTGGACTCTGGTGGATATTTGTCTTGTTGGCAATCATACCACATTTCCTTATATTTGTATTATATTATAGTTAAATTGGTACATAGTATAACCTAGATAACCTGTATTAATGCAAAATTTGAATAAAGGTCCATATTTGTATCTAAAGTTAAAAAGTTAATTTTTTTCCCATAACCTGCCTGTTTGTAATACCTGTAATGCAGAAAGTGGCTTTAATATGTCATTTTTTAAAGTGATTAATTGAGTGATTGTATCATGAAATTAATCTAAATGACCCTGGAGCTACTCCATTGCGATATGATTAAAAGTTTAATTAGATGCAGAAATGTAGTATTATCACGGAAAATGGTTGAAATAGTGGTAGTTTGTGGCAGTTCATATAATGAAAATTGTCAATTTCTAGTTCAATGAACAAAAGGAAAGAGTCATTAGTTTTTTAAAAGAGTATTTTTAATTTGAGATTAAAAGATTAAGTTTCTGATCAAATATTTTTGTTTGTATAAAAACATTGAACTGTGTTATTCAGGATATTTCTCAAGTTCAAGGTTATTTCAGTAACGATTTATCAATAACCTTAACTGATTTATAATAATGCTATATCAATGAAAAAAGTATATCGTAAATAAGTTAAAAAAAATTTTTAAAAATGGTCTGAATCTGTTTTTAGAAATGTCTAAATTCAAATCTGATCATCTTTTTTTTCCTTATATTTAACAGTTTATCCTGCCCCTTCTGTTCTGTACATTAACTTGTTTTACCAGCTATTTTTTTCTTCTTTTAAATTTGAAAACAACTAGAGAATTCAAAACTTGGAATTTGCTATGACAGAGTATGGTCCGTAGACATAATCAAAAGTACCCATGTAAGCAGAGTTTTCAAAATTGATGGCATGTTTTTTCATGATATCTTGTCAGACATGTCAGACTTATGGGAATACCATGCCTTTCAGTGAGTCATAAAACTTTACTCAAAGTACAAAATTGTGCTCGAAACACCAAATCTAGTACTTGTTTTTTGGTTGGATGGTTTTTATTCTGAGAAGATGACCACAAGGTCAGATTACATTATGTTTATGTTTATTTTATTCAAACTATATTTGGTACAAGGTTTTGAGAGGTCCATTTAATCTAAATTTTCCGTGCATCTGTAAAAAAAAAATTGAGTTTGCAAGCAAGAAAAGGTTTTTAAGATGAAGACCCTTTTACTTCTTGCTTTAAAAAATTGACAGAGAGAAATAAGTTAAAACAGTTACTAGACTGGGCCTTGGGGGGTGGGGGGGGGGGGGGGGGGGAGGTGTGCATAGTTTTATGTTATATTTGCATCAGAAGTTAGACTTGAGAGTTTCAGAAAATCCACCAGAAGGTTGTTCAATATTTTATAGGTATTTCACATGATAAGATATCACAACATTTAAGGTACTTTTGAAACCATCCATAGATGACAAAGGAAGGACTTGTTCTGATAGTCTTGTTAGCAGTCTTAAAACTGTAACCAAATATCATCAAATCTTGCCTCAATTTTCTTACTTCAAAGTAGACAGATTTAAAGAGCTAAAGATCTAACATAAATTCTGTAATATCTTCTTATCTTAATTCATATTTCAAATGAGTAGAAGAATATAGTGGTTATTTATAGAATTTAGCTAAAGTTATCTTATTACAGTGAAATGACCTTTGAAATTTTAAATAAAAAGTGTCAAAGTAAAAGTAAATAGTAAATAAAAATCTTTTATTTTCAGTAGAAAAACTTAATTACTCAACAAGTAATTTCATCCACTTAAAACTACAAAGGGAGTCCCATTCATATAAATTTCACTTTTTCAAATTCTATACAGAACCTTTTTTTTTTTTGTCAATATAAGTAATTAACATTTTCACCTACTACGGTAGTTTTATATTATTGACGAAGTTCAACTTGACCTTGTTTATTTCTATTGTAAAGTGTAGAACAAATTCCTTTCACCAATTATAGATTTTTTCCAATGTATGTGGTAGATCGTTACAGTATTTATTTGTTCGTGTACAAAACAATGGGGTAAGTGAGTTTGTAATATATTGATGGAACCTCCGTAGGTCTAAAACTGCTGATGTGAAATTTCGACGAGTAATAAAGAGGCAATCTTTCAGGGGTATTAGTGTCTAGATAAATCAAAAAAGTTTCAGAAAAACAAAATAAAGTCTTCTTGTTTTTATTGATTTAAAATTTTAAATATTGACTTTGACTTTTAAAATTTACAGGTTAATTTGTAGGTTGACCAGTATTTGTCAAGTAAGAGAAAGAGATTTTAGACCTTTTTTAAAGTACATTTATTTTGAATGAAGGAGCTCTTGAATATTCAAAAAGAAAAATGTCGGCAGAAAAGTTTAGATACCTAAACATAAAGTTCATGAAGGGCTTGTGCATGATAGAGACAGCCGTTCCCCACATCTTAATCAAGGAAATATGCTTGTACCACTTAACACCGGTGATAACGATATTTACCACTAAATTTCAAACTTAAAAATGTGAGATTGAAAAAACCCATATCGCGCTACTCAAACTATCACAAAAAAAAAAAGACCAAAAGAGAATTTAAGGAAATAGCGATAAATATTGTTATCAAGCTGGATGTGTTGCTGTCTTACAGTATTATGGTATATCGATAATAGTAACACCTTACTCATTACCTGTTTGAATGTCATGACCTTGATCAAAGGTTACTGTTGACCAATACTAAAAACTCATCCTCAGCCTACAACTACTCACTGAATTCTCGATCGGTATCATATTTCATAAGATGTTGCTCATATTTAAAAGTGGACTGTGACAAACGTTTTGCATTTAAATTTCTGAATTGCTCCATTGTTTTTCCTGTATATTGGTGAAGGGCGGGTCATTTCTCCTAAATATTTACTTATTCTAATATTTTAAAAGATTAATGACCTTGGAAAGTTTTAAGATTATTTGCACATGAGATTGATTCTCTACAAATTAAACACAAACATGCTGTTGAATACAAAATAACATCTATAGCATCACTCTTCTCTCCTTATAAACATGATAGACCTTTGACTTATCTACTGATATCTTATGTTTTAGCATTAATTCAGCTTTTATTTTTATCACATAAAGAGCAAAATTGAGTTACGTGGTAAATTTTCTTTCTAAAGAAAGGAATAAATAATGGGAAATTGAAACGGAAATTGTTTGAATATCTAGAATTAACATGCAAGTTAACAATCAGTCCGTCTTATGTTTACTGAAATTGTCCATACATTATACTGTAAATATGTTGTTTATAAAAAACATAGAATATTCATCACTTGTACATCCTTCATTTCAAAATATCCAGTCAACGAAAGATTGGGTTTGTAGAGGTTTTACTGTATGGGAAAAAAAAACAGGTACTTGGACTAGTCAACTTTACATTTGTGTTCTATTTGTAGATGGCAGCACAAATCAAAGATGGGCATTCAACCGACATGGTAACGAGGAGGACTTTGTATCAAGATATGACAGAATGACAGACGCTGCCAATGATTACTCAGTTTTTACCTCAAATCTCCCAGGTAGTGTTATGTTTCATCAATAATAATTACGATTAACTTATAAAAAATGAAAACAACACATTATAAATTTCATGCGTCTGAAGCGCTTTTCTGGATTTACCTTCATCACGAACGCTGAAAGCCGAATATTTGAAAGCCATGACTATACACATGTATCAGCACTGAAACAGTTGAAGAGCTATATGACCAAAAATAGCAAAATCCATCTAAGGTCTACTTTGCCTGAGGGAGTTGAAACCTTAATTTCTTTATAATTTTAAATTTGATTTATAAACGGACAATTTTAGAAAGGTTTGTTATAAATCATGTCAGTAACGAAGTAAGTGTCAAGCAAGTTCTCTGTGTATTTAACCTTCACCTGCTGTTTTGATCAGTAGAAGAATAAATTACGAAATCCTATCCAACTTATACTAGGATTATACAAATTTTCTTCTTTATATGAAATAAAGGAAAGCCCATTACAAGGATGCTGCTTCAAGGCTTAACACACATTATGTGACATAATATTTGCCTAATCCTAAACAATGCAACAAAAAAATTACATGTTCTCTCTGTAAAAAAAATCCTTTATTGATTTTAATTTCCCCCCACAAATTGAAAACATACTGATGCATATCAGAAATACTGTAATTTCATATATGTTAAGTGAAATTAATAAATTTACAAACATCCCTTATCAATATTTAATGTACAATCCATTGAAATGCTCACATTGATTTCGAACAAACATTTCACATTTTCTTCAAAAATATTGAAACCATTTATTTCAAATGACATAAATAAACAGAGCGAATTGGAGACTTCTAATTAAATCTTTATATTCATTGAAACATTGTTGACACATCATTGTTCATATGCTAAAACTAATACCACAATACTACCGTTACAAAAATATCTATGATGTAGGTAAAGGTGGCACCAAATCATTGTTTGGCTTCACCCCACAATTCAGAACTATTTTTTCTCATTTGAAGTATTGTAAGGATGCCCACCTTTCTTCAATTTCGAATGAAGACTTTTAAGAAACAGTTTTTTTTAATGAGCGGAATTTGGGTCAGAGGATAAATGCCTTTAAACCATAATCTATTGAATATAAGTAAAACATTTATGAATTTCTATAGTCACTATATATCATTCATTTTTATTCCTTACCAAAGACATTTCTTTTCATATGAAAGTCTCTCTAATGTGCATTTGCATTTCTATTTTTGTCCTAATATTAAAGAAATATGATAGATATATTTATATATTTGAAAGGGAAATAAGGGATATTTAAAATGACACAATACACAGCACTATGAAAATAAGGAAATGTGGTATGATTGCCAATGAGACAACTATCTACCAGAGTCGAAATGGTTTAAGCAACTATATGTCACTGGACAGTCGTCAACATTAAGCAAAACCAATACCGTAAAGCTATCTATAAATGGCCTTGACCTGACAAAATGTAAAACATTTTAAATGCAAAAACCAACGCCCTAGTTCTTATTAAACCAAGCTCATTTTCTTTATGCAAATGCAGTTGCATTAATTTGGTCGTTAAAAAAAACATTTTAAAAATAGAGTACATGTACTTCTAATTTCATCTTCATGATTTGTATAACTTTTTTCCTTAATTAAAGTCATATTACAAATATGAGTTATTCATAAAAAGACTTGTTTATTTAATTTACAAATTTATGAAATGAAATAGTAAGTAATTTCAAAATTTGAAATAACACTCCATTTTGAATTAATGATGCATTCACAAATTTCCTATTAAATTGACAAATATTGGGTGTGACTTTAAATATTTGTTATTATACTATTAACTTATTTTTGTAATATAATTCATTCAGTTAATAAAATATACTTAACATTGCTTAATGTAAAGATTTGCATTTCAGTTCAAACTTTTTGTTACTTATATGATAAATAAAAATAGGAACTTAAATAAAACAAACTTCAAAAATTTCCTGAATAAAACATTCTTAAATTCATATAAAGTATATTTTCCAATCTATAAAATATATTAGAATATCTGACATCTTTTTAATTTGTATGAGCGTTGCATATTTTACATATTTTGTAGTTAAACATGCATTTGTAAAGTTATTTTTTAAGGATTTGACAGTTTGTTTAAAAATGGACCTTTGTCAACTTTGTTTATTACGACAAAACAAGTTATGAAGAGATGGTTTTTCTGTGCTTAAGATCATCATTTCACATTCAGTTTTTTTGTGACTTAGATTTAAAATCTAAAGTATTCTAAATGTTAGTTAAGAAAACTATGACCACCTATCCTTGTGATTATTGCTTACTTAAAAATAATATATTGAAAATTTCATATTTAAATTCTTTTTGCTTGAAAATTAAATTTCATCAAATGTCAGTTACACATTTATATTTAGATAAAATTTGACATAGATACTAAGATTAAGCAATACAAACGAAAACCTTGGGTGAACTCAAAGTTAACCATATCATGAGGCTGCTCATTTTTCTTGAAAACTATATGGTGGCAACTCATCCATTGCTGAAAAACAATACTGTGGCAGATATGGCTGTTTATCCATTGGTGAAAAATCATATGGTGGCAGCTGTGGCTGGTCATCTATTGCTGAAAAATTATATGTAGGCAGCTGTGGCTGATCACCCATTGCTGAAAAACCATATGGTGGCAGCTTTGGCTGCTCATCTATTGCTGAAAAATTATATGATGGCAGCTTTGGCGGCTCATCCATTACTGAAAAATCATGGTGGCAGCTGAAGATGCTCATCCATTGCTGAAAAAAACATTTGGTGGTAGCTGTGGCTGCTCATCCATTGCTGAAAAACAAATGGTGGCAATTGTGGCTGTTCATCCATTGCAGAAAAATTATATGGTGGCAGCTATGGTTGCTCATCCATTGCTGAAAAAACAATAAAAGGTCTAATTTTAAGAAACTGGGGCTGTGGGGTTGCTTTCTGATTGAAGTTGACCCTTACCTGTTTTATGCGTATTAGAAATACTTATAACATAGACTGAAGGTGAAATGTGCATCAGTCTTGCCTTTGCTGGTATACATTTTTTGCCTTGTATATGAATATACAACTTACTTATACTTACTCAACCTGTTATTTTAGGTAATCAAAGAAATTCCACATTTAATGACACTGATGACAACCCTGTTGAAGCAGCAGCCATTAGAATCCAAGCTGCATACCGTGGACATACAGTACGACAAAATCTTAACAGTTGGAAACTTCCATCAGGACAAACTGTTGGGGGTCACATCAGACGTGCTGGACAAGACGAGGTAGGTTGCTAAATTACTATTAGATTTCAAACTTTTTTTTTCTCTCCAACAGAAGCTGAAAGATTATTTGTATGTTCTTTCCTGTGAAAGATTTACTCTGACCAGAATGATTGAAAAAGGTAAAATAGCAAAAATACCGAACTCCAAGGAAAATTCAAAACGGAAAGTTTCCCATCAAACGGCAAAATCAAAAGATCCAACACATCAAATGAATGGAAACCATACCAAATATATATGGAAAAATAAAAATTCTTGCTTTACACAGCTTATTTTGCTTATATTCAAATTCATTCTGAGTGAAAAGTACTTGAGACAAGATTTACTGAAAAATAAACTTTTAAAAATGATTGTGAAGTGTCTTATTACAGTTAAAAATTGAAATTCAATCAGAATGAATATATTTTACATGTTGATTGAAGAAGTTGGTTTCTGATAGCGGTCAAACTATCCACGGATAGCGGTCAAACTATCCAAAGCAGTTTGCTCAGCATAATAAGGCAAGGACAGTTTTGTTTCTTTCCGTACAAATGAAGGAAACTTGTTTATCTTTGATATATTTTTCCTAACTTGAGGGGAAACTTTGATTCAAGCCACTATATCCTGATATATATATATATGAATGATTTGTCTTTCAGGATGAATCGTCAATAACAGAGACGTCAACATTCAGTGAGATCACTTTAACAGAAGATTCTGAAAATTCACTTTTGTCTAATCAGAGATTGGTATGTCTTAGAATACATTTACTCTTAATATATTAAGTGTAAACGGTAGAATTGAAGGGCAAAGGTTTTCTCCACTATCAGAGATGTCTATACTTGATTCAAGTGGAAAAACAACATATATAAACAGCTAAAAAAAAATCAGCTCATATTTTGGAGGGTTCATTTTCGTCATGAGGCAGATAAAATCATAATTATAACTTTATGAACTTTAAACTTCAATATTCAGTGTTTCAAAATTTTACAAAATACTACTAAATGAGAATAATTTCTCTCATAAAATAAAAAATTCATGAATGGTTGTCAGAATAACAACAAGGAGCACCACCTTTAAATACTGTGAATTCGTCATTATTCATGGAATGCCAATTTTTGTGGGTATAGGTGAACCCTGAATTTAAATGTTAAATTTCGTAGACTTTAACAAAACCATGAAATCAAATATCCACAAAAATATGATTTTTCTTCAATCCACAAAAAATTGGTGCCCACGAAAGTAAGTGATTCCACAATAGCTTCTTGTAATCCCTGGGTCATCTGTTGATTTTCAACAAATAACATAAAAACAATTGTTATTGTGTGAAATTCTATTTGAACATTTGAATAATGATCCAAGAAGTTAGTAAAGTTTATTAGGTCATGGGTGTAATTTGCAGAATCATTTGTGCTTACTGGAAAAACATCTTTTACTGATACTCAAAATTTAAGTACTAATGATAAATGCATAAGCTCAAAATGTTTAGATCCTTTCATAAAAAACCCATTTATTAAAGAAAAATCATATTTTCATTTTACTAAATTAAATTTCTTTGTTAAATATTTCAACATTATAGATAATCACCAAAAAATGAAAGCTATGAATAATAATGAGAGAAAAAAACAAGGACAAAGAATGGGAATAATTAACTTTGTTAATATTGTTCCATCAAGAATGAAGCAGTGATATGAAACAGTGATAACTTCACATGGCTTTATGCTATTTGAGTGGTAAAATTTCATTATTTTTGTGTCACATTAAAATGAAAATTCATGACAAAAACAGTGTGATTGTTTGCAAGATGAAAATTGGATCTTTATTTAAGAAATTACTTCTGCTCATCATACACCCATTTTACTTTCTATTGATTAAACAGATAGTTAAATTAAATGGTGCATATACTTTGGCTGACTTCTTTTGATAGGAATTTGTTAACACATTATCTCATGAGATTTCAATAAGTCATTTAGTTTAGTGAATGATGTCATGAATATGCATATTCATTGCTCGAGGGCTCCCACATGATCTTATTTCCTTCACGAACTATTGAATAAATGTTTTATTTTACCTCTTCGTTCCTAATTTGAAATTAATATTCATAGGAAATAAATAGATGTTTTGATTATATATTTGCTGCTAAATGCAACATCCAAAATGAATATATTAATTATTGATGTTCAGATAAATGTAATTTCAAAAATCATCTTGAGGTTATTGGGTTGTTTATTGTCTTTCATAACTGTTATAAAGCATTAACTAGACAGATGCACAATTTTCATAACTTGAGGGATGGGAAATACTTGTAAACTGAATATTTAAACTTTTCATCAATAAGCATATTTGTAAAATTAATATTTAAATTTTTCATCAATAAAAACAACTTAATGAATAAAAGTTTTATATTTTGGTACTATATTTTATTTAGCAGAACTAGAGTTGCAAATGCCATGTCAATGGTTACTTGAATCAAAACCAGTTAGAACAAAATTTGAAACTGTCAAATTCCTAATTGATGCTGGTAAAACAATACTGTCAACACACCCATCTGATTATTCCTGTGTATAAGCTTTGCATACAAGGATCTGACAACACTCTGTTTTACTTTCTGTTCTGGTAATTATTACATCAACCAATGAAATTTCAGCCTTCAAATTTTTTGAAGTTGTGTATTAATCTGACAAAACTAGAGGATCCCGAAAGGTCTTTAAAACAGAAAGTAGACTGGAGCATATTCAGATCCTTGTAAGCATAGCTTAGGATCAGAAAATAACCAATAAACATGTTATTATCTTAGACATCTTAATTGTTGTCTTTTATCCACTTAAGTTTAATTTTTCAAATTTAAAATGCAAATTTAATGCTTAGATATGTAGAAAATCATTTCAGGTCTTAAAAAGTAATTTATAGTTAAATTCTAAATCTCATTTTGCAGGTTGGCTCAGGGTTACGAGAAAGAGATTTTCATGCTGGTGGACATCGGCACCAAGGTCCTACAGAAATGGTCATACCACGTCCTTCAACACAACACAGAGGAGGAAAATATTCATGGGAGGAACCTAGGCCAGATCCAGATAATGTCTTCAACGTATTTGCTAGGCATCAACGAAATCAAGGTACTTGATACATATTTATTAGTGATATGAGCTGTCAGTTGAAATTATTCAAAAGTATCTATTTTGTATGAAAATATTTTTAAGTATAATTTTCTACTTTTTCATGAATATGTTTTTGGTCATTCAATTAATCTCTGTATCATTTTATATGTGCCTATAAAATCGTTGAGAGTCAACATTTTGTTTGGTACTTTTATTCAAACAATGAAATGTTTTTATTGAACATTTCTGATATTGTTGCACATGGATAATGTTCAAGATGAAGATGTATGTAGATATAAATCTTGAACACAATTTCTTTTTTTCTGAGTTATCCTTTAAATTCATTCTGCAATTATCTATGTTAAAATCTATACTTCCAGACAAACAACGACAAGGATATTCAACAGAACCAAAGAAAATGGAAGAGGAGTATAGAAAGGAACAGGTTACCTCACAACATACAGCTCCAAAGATTAGGTCCACACAAAATAGCCTGCCTAGAAACAGAAGTCCAGGAGTTGGTGCTAGAACTCATAGTCCTGGCTTTGGTTTGAGGAGTGAAAGTCTTAAAGTATCAGTACATCATAGTGTTAAATCAAGGTAATATGACTACATTTTGTCTTTGTTTTGATTTTCAGGTTGTTGATCAGGGGTTTTATAATACTTTTGAATATTTCTTTTTATTACATTGCTTGCAATGAATTACCGTGATTTCCAAGTGAAATAAAAATCGCTAATTTCACAAGTGAAATAAATTCGGTTATTTCACCCCTCTGTCGTCATACAACAGTAGGTGTTGTCAAGACGTTGTCAATGACGTTGCATCAAAGCAACTGTGAATGCGTAGAAAAAGATATAGTTCCTTACATTTTCTACTTTAATTCCATTAAAAAGCCTTTTGTCAATGTAATAAAAAGAATAACTGATCAAAGAATTCAAATAACGAAAAATATTCATCTTATTACCGAACAACACTGATAATTAACTCATGCGTTACGTGCATTTGTGAATTAATGTGTTGTTCGGTCACTCTTTGAATATTTTTCTCTATTTGAATTCTTCAATTAGTTATTCTATGAATATTTTCATATGTTATGAATAAAAGGATATTAATTAGATTCAGTGAAAAAAGGATACATCAGTTAAAAATTAGAGAAATATAAATATATTTTATGTGCTGATCAGACATTTGTCATTTATACAAAATATAGACCTATTTCATTATAATTTTCAATGGTAAACTGTAAACGTTATATTGTGCTTAGGGATTACCCTAAGTTTCAAACATAAGATCTTTACCAACTACAATTTGTTTGCAGAAATGAAGACACCAGACCAAAGACTTCAGTGAGCTTTAAACCACTACCATCTGATAGTGAACACGATGATACATTCCAAGAAGTTTCCTATTCTCGTCAGTTTGAGTTGTAAGTAACTCGTGCGGGTTTTTATTCAAATCTTCTTGTGACAGTTTATTGCAGCAGAATATACTGTACATTCATTATTAGTCCCCTACCAACCAAGTTGAAGGGGACTTTAGGTTTGCACTCCGTCTCTCTGTCTGTCTGTCTGTCCATCCGTCAGTACGGCAAATCAGTTTTCCACACTTTTTTTCTTCATGCTTGAATATATTGATTTGATATGTGGTGTATTGTTTAATCATGACAAGTTACAGATCAAGTTCGAGTTTTGTTCTGGTCTGATGATTTTGTGCAGAGTTATGGTCCTTGGACTTAGAAAATTCACACAAATAATCAGTTTTTCTCACTTTTTTCATCATGCTTGAAGATATTGATTTGATAATTGGTATATAGTTTACACCATGACAAGTTATAGATCAAGTTAGCATTTTGTTCCAATACAATGAATTTTTGACCAGTAGGGGACTATGTATTGCCATGCAAAACTCAATGCTTGTTATTTGTTGGATACCAAATTTCGTAGATTTTGTGGTTACAGGAGAACAACAAATTTAAATGTTCAAAAATAAAAATTTTCTGTAGGCTTGTATGCAGACTTTGGCAAAACCACAAAATCAAATATCCACAAAAATACAATTTTTCTCAATCCATGAAAATTGGTTCCACGTAAATAACTGAATCCACAGTGTACCCTTTTTTTGTCTATATATAATACTTCATATGGTTAGACTTATAAAATAGCCTGTAGAAATGAAATTTTATTTTTTTAATGAATTAAATATGGGTATTGAGTATCAGAAATTTAAGGAACTCTGAAACAGAGGAACAATCTAATAACTGTTGAGTTTGTATAAGGCTGAGAGTATAGCAATCTTTAGCAACAATTTAATGTAACTTTTTCTGGGTACATTATATGTTTGACAGCCCATAGCTCATAAAGATTATAAACTTTTTCTTTGTTGACAAAGAAGTATATCATTTTCCCTAAATAATTCAAATTACTGTACATATTACTGACTGTCAATTCTTGATCAAATTTGTGATAATTGATAATGTTGTGTGAATTTTCATTAAGGTGATGCATGTCTTTGTATTATTAATATTTCATAAAACCTCAATTTCTGAATTTACATAATCGAAGAGTATTATAACCTTTAAGTTAATTTCATCATTGAAGCTAGGAAGTGTTTTCCAGAAGTATACGTTACATTTTGTATCATAGATTATACATTTTTTTTGTTTTACCGATAAAGTCTTTTGGCTCAGAATCAGAATAATGTGACTGGGAAAGGTTATATTTCTTCCTGTTTACTGTTAATACCTTTTTAACTAGAATTTTAAAAATCTGACTCAGTGTGTTGGTCTAGAACAAAACATTATTTTGACATATCAACAGGTTCTCAACCTGATTTGCATGTAATATTCTCCACTAGATGTTAAACAACAATCTATCTGATAAAGTCTCACATGTATTTATTTTTTTACAGGAGTAAAGATGACAGAAGTAAGCCTGAAAAAGCTTCAGTTTTATCTCATTCCAAACCTAGTCAAAGACATTCTGCTGATACAGATACAGATACCTCAAGTATAGAAGACTTCTCTAGAATAGAGGTTTGTTTTGTATTAATGACTTTTGTATCTCGTTTCTGAAACGATCTGTCTGTCTGAAATGTAAAGTCATAAATAATTATAGGTTATCGTTGGTCATCTCAACGAGATTGATATTGTCACTTGAGCCGGTAGGGCGAAAGTGAGAAAAGTAATCGAGATGAGATGTCCAATGATAATCTGTTTATTGCTATTTTACCTACGAGGACGTTGTTAATTTCATTAACAACGGCCACGTGTGCCCTTAGTTTCTAGCAATAATTTTTCATATCACACTACTGTGCTGAGATAGGAAATTATCAGTCAGTAAGATCAAAGGAAAATTTCGTAAAATAGCAATAATATGTTTTATTATCAATTTCTTTTACCTGAATTGCATTTGAATCTACCTTGGAGGGGAAGAAACACATTTTAATTTTTAATGGTAGGTAGAGGTCTCAGTCTCAGATGATAAATGTATTATGAGTTAATACATATATTTTATAAATTCAGATAAGAATGATGCAGGAAAGTATGTCAAGTACAACAAAGTATGGTTCTTGTTTTTTTCCATCTTTTTTTGGATAAAGAAAATAGAATGAATATAAAACACAAAAAAAAGATTTTTTTTCTCTTAACTACAGACAATTTGCATCAATTAAAATTTTCTTGTTAATAGGAACCAGACAGACGTTACCCACATGTTGTACCAGATGATGACAACTCGACACCTAAAGCCTCATTACGATACTCACCCGACACATTAGAGAGCAAGTTCTATTCTGAACTGAACCAGTTAGAGAGTATGGAAGAGTCCATGCGACAGTTGACAGGGGTGGAGAGGACAAGAGCTGTCTCTATGGCACAACAGGAAACTGTTTCACTTGCTCAGATGTTGAAGGTAGTTATGAAATGTTCAGTGGTCTCATTGAGTATGATAAGTGTGATTTTAACCCCTCAAGGGGTCTTTTGACTCTGCTGATAAAGTAAAAAGGGTATTGCAGGAGGACATGCACTCATGGTTTTGATGAAAGTGAGAATTGCTCAAAACTTTAGTTTTTGGGGTAAAGATTGCTAGAAATGCATCAAAACCCTATTGCCAATGACATGATAGCTATATTTTCCAGGCCTCGTCTATAAAGAGCACAAACAACATTATGCAGTTAGGTGAACATTATGTAGATCTTATTAATGAACATGTCATGCGTAGTCAATGTTAAAGGGAGTAATACCGCCATTGATGTTCCCCTATTAGTCTTTGTTAAATTGGCATTTTTCAAACAATTGTGCAGAATTTATCTTTGTTTCAAATAAAGAAATACTTGGCATGAGTAAAGTTTTATCCTGTCCAGTACTACAGTGAAAATTTCAAATAACATTTCATTGCTTATAAGATAATCACCGGAAGTAAGCCAATCAAATTTTCACACCTTTTGTCTCGCCTTGACGGAGTATAAAGCAAGACATAGGTATGCTGTTTCCGGCGGTGGCGGCGTCGTCAACAATGCATTAGTTTGTGATTAGGTCTAGTTTATGGTGAACCACTAGTGGTAGGTCAATGATATTTGGTATGTAGTTGTATTAGCATTGGCACATCTCATTACCATGGAGATTATTTGGCCCCACCCCCTCAGTCATGGTCTATTGACTTTTAAACTTTGCTTAGTTTACATGTATTAGTTTGTGATTAGGTCAGTTTATGGGGAACCACTAGTGGTAGGTCAATGATATTTGGTATGCAGTTGTATAAGCATTGGCATATCTCATTTCCATGGAGATTATTTGGCCCCATCCCCTCAGTCATGGTCTATTGACTTTGAAACTTCTGCTTAGTTCACATGTATTAGTTTGAGATTAGGTCAGTGATATTTGGTAAGCAGTTGTATAAGTGTTGGCATATCTCATTTCCATGGAGATTATTTGGCCCGCCCACTCAGCCATGGTCTATTGACTTGAAACTTGCTTAGTTCACATGAATTAGTTTGTGTTTAGGTCAGTTTATGGGGAACCACTAGTGGTAGGTAAATGATATACAGTTGTATTAGCATTGGCACATCTCATTTCCATGGAGATTGTTTAGCCCTGTACCTTCAGTCATGGTTCATTGACTTTGAATATTTGCATAACTTACATATTAATAAAGTATTGCTATTTTAATTTCAACATTTGCATTATCAAAATAACAAATAGGCGAGACATATCTCTGTGTTAACAGTTTATCTTTCTGTTAACAAGCTTTAGTAACCATGTCACCTGAAGTTTCCAAAATATTTTATAGGAACAGCAAATAAAAAAAGAATGGTGCTTTGAAACACCCAAGATATATGTTTATGACTCAGAATTTTTTTTCTGCAATGAAATTCAGGGTTAATTTCCTACAACTGTCAAATTCAAGGGAATATTTTTTTTTACCCTTTTAAGTATAAAACTGGATGTGACGTACTGTGATTTGGTGGTATAACACCTAAATACTCAGATATTAAAGTTTCAAAATGACGTGTTTGCGTATTATCACATTTGTCAATAAAACTATTTTATTGAAAATAACTTAAGCATGGTATGTCATGTATGTGAATCTATCAGTTCTAAAAATTAGTTCAGTTACAATTATTGACCTAAGAAGATAATTCCAATTCAAAATATTGCCTAAATGTGTTCCTTGCTACAACGAGGCTCATACAACGCATTGTTTAATTTTATGTTCATTCTGCAAAATCAAATCAATCTTTACCTTTCAGTGCTAACAAGCACTTTGATTTGTGTTCACTTTACATTTGTAGGTCTGTACAAATGCATTGTTATGCACTCTAGATTTTTAACTTAGGCCATAAATAAATGTTTTCCTTTTGTAGACTTGCTTTGGTCTGTATGAGTTTAAACTTTGATTCGTTATGATATTTCTGATTTGTAAAATTGCATTAAAAAAATAGTATGAAAATGTCAATTATCAATTATTTCTTATAGGCTCGACAGCAAACTCATGAAAGGGACATGAAACTTTTGGAAATTAAGGTTCAAAAAGAAAAGCAAGAGGCAGCTAGAATAGAAAAAAAAATGGAGGAGGCCAAACAAAGAAGTAAAGAAGCATCACAGAATGCTAAAGATGTCATGATGAGGGTACGGGGGGATGGTAAGGAAGCAGAGCCTAGCGCAAAGTACAACAATAACAATAAACTGGACAATAGTGATAACATCAGACCCAAACGTGCTGTTAAACAGGTAAGGCCAAATAATATAAATATATATATATATACATGTTCCCTGCCACCTGGCAGAAAAAAAATAGGGTAGTAAGGTAGGTAAAATTGTTTTGTCATGAAATTTTTACAAAACACTAAATTGTGATGGAGACTTTTTATTTTCTATCTTGTAAAGCAAAAACCAGTGCAAATAATACCAAATTGAAAAAAAATGTTTGCAAAAACATTTTAAAAAATGTTACCAGCTGGGTATAATTTTTAAGCATTTTTGGTTTGTGAACAGTCTTTTTATTTTGCCTTTCAAGTTTTTTGCAAAAAAGGTTTGACTAATTGAATGGTATTTCCAAATGTCTGTCTGCCAATGTTAATCAGAATTGTTTTTAAGTCTTAGAATATATTATTCAAAGAGTAAAATAAAGATAATAACAAAGCATTATTTTCCTTGTATTGCAGAATCAGTCAAGCAGTGATTACAGGGGACCAGACTCTGCCAGGTCTTATAGTGAAAAAACATCACTGAAAACAGCACCCTCATATAGTGAGAAAACAAAAACATCTTATACATCATCAAGGTGAGATATCATACAGTCAAAAATATATTCATTAATTATTGATGATTTTTCAAATGAGAGGGGAGGTACAATCTCATTGAGGGGTGACAGGAACATCCTTGAGTTTGAAAACCATTGACTATTGATGATCTGTTTATTGCTGTTAACATCAATGATGTAGGCTCATGACAACATACGTTCTCTTTTTATGCCCCATTTATGGACATTATGTTTTTCGGTCTGTGCATCTGTTTGTTCGTCCGTCTGTCCCGCTTCAGGTTAAAGTTTTTGGTCAAGGTAGTTTTTGATGAAGTTGAATTCCAATCAACTTGAAACTTAGTACACATGCTCCCTATGATATAATCTTTCTAATTTTAATGCCAAATTAGAGTTTTGACCCCAATTTCACGGTCCACTGAACATAGAAAATGATAGTGCCAGTGGGGCATCTGTGTACTCATTCTTGTTCTTGACTGAGAAAAACTCATATCACTCAAGTAGTGTGATATTAAAATGATCACAAAAAAAGATCAAAAAAAAATTTGAGAACATACTGTGGATTCATTTATTTTCGTGGATTGAGGAATGCCTGTATTTTCGTGGATTGAGGAATGCCTGTATTTTTGTGGATATTTAATTTCATGGTTTTGCCAAAGTCTGCATACAAACCTATAGAAATTTTTGTTGAACCTTTAAATTCGTGGTTCACCTGTACCCACGAAATCCACGAAAATTGGTATCCAACGAATAATAATGAATCCACAGTAGCGATAATCATGGAGCTCTATTTAATTGTATTTCTCTTTTATATTTGGAAGATGATCATTGAAATTGAAAAAGGAAACTGAATCAGCATTAGCTTTTGAATATGTGGCTGTTTTCACAAAAAATCTTACAAGTATTTTATTTTAAATCATAAACATTTCAGTGTATTAGAGGGGCAAAAGATAACAAAGGGATAATCAAACTCGTAATTCGATAACGAACTGACAACGCCATGGCAAAAAATGAACAACAGCACATGGAACACAACATAGAAAACTAAAGACTGAGCAACACAAACCCCACTAAAATTAGTGGTGATCTCGTGTGCTCTGAAAAAAGTAAGCAGATCCTGCTCCACATTTGGCATTTTACATCTGATTTAAATTGTAAGATTTTTAGTGAAAAGAGTTGCTGAATCTTTAGTGAATCTATCAGTTCAAGATTACAATGCTTTGACTGAAAAAATTGTATAAATATATCAATTTATCCTTGGATTTTGATATTGAAAAGTATTGTAAATTTGTTAAACATTGAAATAGTTAAACTGATGACATTTTCAGGAGTGTGTCTAGTAATGTAAAGACAGCCAGCGATACACAGAAAGGTCGTGACAGTGACTCATCCATCATATCTGTCAGTGGTGCTGATGCAAAAGATGAGTCAAAATCTGAGAGTATATTAGAAGATATATCTCAAGGTGGGCAATAAGAATAGCAAGGTTATAATTGTCAAAATAGTTTCTTTATTAGGTCTTTTAGCAGTTATGAGTCTAGGAACAAGTTTTTGAATGTGAAAATATTTTTGGAGAAATATTAAGATGAGACAGAATAGTATTGGTGTGGTAAGATATAGGAACAGACGTGCAATAATGACGGTAACTCACTCATTAGATTTGGCATGAGTGGAATCTTAAATGATGATATAAATTTATTTAGATTATGCGGAAGAAATACTCAAAACATAAGTAAAATGCATAAAAAAAATCTTTTTAATTATTTTATGTTTAGAAATAGAAGCAAAATTAAGCTTTCTGACTCAATCTATTTAAATACACACTCTGTAATCTCCAGGACGTGAATCAGTCTTGAATACTCATTTATTTTTACAGCATCTGGTGATGAATACTCTATTAATTTTGATGACACAATGACAGAAGATGAAATTGAAGAGAAATCATTCAAGGCCATTTTACCGTCAGAAAGTCATCGTAAACGTGCCAAAAAACATCACCTTGATAATATGTCTGTCACATCAGATGAAGGTTCAGGTAAGGAAAGTTTGCAATCAGAAAATCTTAAAATATATTCAAACCACTGGTATAAATGGACTTGGTAACTAGTAATTTGTTCAACATGTTTATAGATTATTTGCCATAAACGATTTTTATTCCCCTCATCAACAACTATTCTTTATTTTAAGAGGGTTACACATTTAGTTATACATTGTATAACTAATCTTCCCTGAGGCCCTCATCATAGAAAAAAATCAAACAAAAAATCGTTGAAAAATATCAACTGGAATGGGAAATCAAGCTTTTTCTCAAGCTTGTTGGAAGGTCTGTCCTTTAACTATTAAGGGATGAAAATATTTTACAGTACAGTTTATAATATAGTTTACATTTATATACTAAAATACAAAATAACATTTTTTGACTTTTGACAAGCTTGAAAATGGCATACACACATGATAATACATTTTCTTAAACTTTTGACTTTAAGCATACCTGAAAAAGTTTATTTTAGAAACAAGCTATGTGTCAACTAAAATTTAATAACATGTATTAATGTTGTCTGCTCTATGGTCGGGTTGTTGTCTCTTTGACACATTCCCCATTTCCATTCTCAATTTTATTAATGAGTATTTTCTAAAAATACTCATTTAAGATATAGGTTTAGATACTTCAAGCTTTTTAATAGTAACGATATAAAAATGTTAACAATATTTGCAGTGCCAAGTACCCCACGAATTTCGGTAGATGACCTAGGGTCATATGTTCTGGGAGAAGATTCCTTTAATAAATTTACAGAAGAAATGGTCAAACAGTTTATGAAGGAAGAGGAAATGAGAGCTCAACACCAGACCTCTCTTCTCCAACTAAGAGAAAAAGCTCTTGTAGAGAAAACCAAAGCTGAATTAGAGTGGTTAGAACAACAAAAACAAAGAATTAGGAACAAAGGGGCTGATGATTCCTATCCACAAATTATAAAGCGTCAGAGAGGACTCAAGATGAAACTGCAAGAGCAACAGGTAAAATTTATTTACTAGATTTATGGAACATCTGATTCAACTAAAAAACTTTTAAATTAGAGAGATAATTAGTTTTATCTAACATGTGGAACAAAAGTTATAACATCTCATTTTTCTTCTTTTTTAATTTAAGTTTCATACATGAACTTTAGAAAGGATGTATCTTGAAACAATCTGTTATTTTCTGCATTTTGTTAAATTATCTTGATCCAGCTGTCAGTGAAAAGTATCCTTTTCACTTGAAGTCAAAAGTCAGTGGCAAAAAATTGAAATAACACTTTTGATACTGGAATTGAGAATTAAAAAAACTGTACATAATTTTAAGCACCAAACTATGTTGAATATTTCAGGCTGAGATCAAAAGAATGAGAGAGGCGAACAAAGCTGCTTCCCGAGAGAGACAATTATTGTTACAGCAGCGTGAAGAAATCAGCCGACTCAGGCAGTCAACTAAACAAGTAAGGGGAGAGAACTCAAGAAATTTACTGAGCATTAGAAATCATGAAACTGATTTTATTTTACCTGTAAGAAGTTGAAAGTTTTCCCCTATAATCCTGATTTTTTAATTACCACTCTGGCTTATTATTCATCATCCTCCTTTGGAAAATAGGTTACTATTATAAAGCTCTGTATTTCTGTTTCTTTTTATCTTTTTTTTTGGCATGTAGATCTTCTTTTTCAACAGAGATATAGAAACTGGGTATTGTTATTTTGCTTTTCCCACTTCTAACAATTAAGTTCCAAATTTCAATCCTATTACTCCAGCAACTCTGTTTTGCATATTCTTTCTTATTTACTGAGATGTATATCTACTAAAGTTTTCTGATATAACCATTGATATTAAGCAGTAATTTCATGTTGAAGATATGAGAATTGACATTAAGCAGTGGTTTATCTTTTAAGTATAATCAAGTTTTAGCAGACTTTGAAGAGTAGCTTTTTTTCAACTTAAATAGTATAATATATTTAAATAAAAAAAATACCAGGATTGCTCAAAGGGAAGTAATCCTGATTTATAACTTCTTACTGAATAATTTTTCTCTTTCTCAAATAAATCTCTCCGCAATATAGCCTTTTTGAGCTGATGTGGCGTAAAGCAATCACAAACCAATCGATCAATCTTAAATAAATTCTTTTTACATCATATACAAATAATATCTTGAATAATTACATGTAGTTTAAGATCATTTACAAATTCTAATATCAAGAAATGCATTTTATGTTTCAGACTAAGGAAAAGTTGGGTGGTAGATTAGGTCGTCCTGCAGAAGTCCACACAGAAGATGAATTTTATGTTGTATGTACCTAATTGTTATTCTCTACGTGATGTCATTGTTATTCTCTACGCGATGTCATTGTTATTCTCTACGCGATGTCATTGTTATTCTCTACGCGATGTCATTGTTATTCTCTACGTGATGTCATTGTTATTCTCTACGTGATATCTACATTCTTTAACTTAATTTGAAATTTTGATAAAGTACAACTGTTTTTACAAATTTTGAATACATATATTGACTGTATACAAGTTCATTTTTAATGAAATAATGCAAAATTTCAACATAAATCCAGAGTAGACTTGTGGGTAAGAGCATGTTTTCATAAACAGAAAAGACATTAAAATCTTCAATAAGTGATAATTCTTATTTCTAGGGTTCAGTTTCAGCTTTTGCTTACATGATTTTAATCTGAGTTGCAATATTTTAGTTTTCAAAAAGAAAGTTCTACAAAGAATTCTATTAAAGAATTTATTATTCCTCACACAAACATGGAAACTTACAATGTACTGGCTGTATTAAGAAAGTTTTGCTCAATTTGCAAATCAAATATTGGCAGAACATATTCAGATTTCCCTCATTGAGATCAGTAACGTAGAATTGAAAATTTTATACATTTTATAGAATGAAGATGAAAAAGATACAGATAACGAAACATCTCAAAAGAAAGGTAAGAAAGAATTAAAAAAGGTAAGACAGAACTAGGAAAGTACAAAGTTTAGCAAGAAATGAGAGAAAGAAAATATTCAGTTTAGAAATGTTTGATGGCATGCTACTGTTTATAGTAAGAGTCTATCAGTCTTAACACCATCATTCCATTAAACAGTTAAATATCATCAATTTGTTAAAATTTTCTTCGTAAACACCTATAGCATGGTAAGTACATGTACTGGTACTACAAAAAAGGAGGGTGCATTAGTTTATACTATATTACAATTTATGTACTCTTTGATATGTGATCAGTCAAAGTAGTAATACAATAAATTGATTTTGCAGATTATAAGTCAGACTCTGAGATTTACACCGAACCAAAAGCTGCTGGTGGGGAGAAGAGTCTGGATAAACTGAAGAAACTTCATCTGGACGAGAGATACCTGACAAAACGAGAACAACGATTACGAGAGAGAAAGAAATCAGCCAAAGAGTTGTTAGATTGGAAGAAACGATTGGATGAGGAAGAACAAGCTGTGTTTGAATTAGAGAAGAAAGCATTGAAAGTTTGGGATCATGGGGAAAAAGGAAAAAAGAAAGAAAAAGAACCTGAAAAGTCAAAAACTCCATCAAAGGTCAAAGGTAAATGTTCATACTCAATTGATTCAGTTTCCAACAATTGTGCTAATTTTGATGCTAAGAATTTATGTAGTGAAATACCCAATAAAGATTTTGTACCAAAAATGAAAAATTGGGCTCTAAATAGATTTAACAGAAATTCATCATTATCTTACACTGTTTTAGCTATATGAACATACTTACTTGTCCTGTTATGACTTTTATTCAAATTTTGACCACTTCATGTATTTGAGTGTAAGTAATTCTTCCTTCAATCAGTTCATCCCGTTAGGTATCTGAGTATTGTCGACCTAAGGAAATGTTGAAAGACAGCAACCCAACAACACAAAATAAAAGATATCTTAAGTTATCAACTTTTTCACTGTGTGACTCATCAGATGACAATATGAATACTTAAAATTCAGGCTGAAATGGGCATTCACAGACCTAAGATATAGTGGGTGTGTTCTTGTACAAGTTATATAGGAATAAAAAAATAATTCAAGAAATATTGTTGTGATTGTGGTTTTATTATTTTGCAGAAACTCATCCCCCATCAGTAACACAGGATGATACTATTATCTCAGAAGCAATAAGTTTGGCGAAGGATGAGTCTATAACTAATACTCCACGTGCAGTCAGTGCCAGTGAGAGTTCTCCAGAAGAAAGACAGAGATTAGGCAGGAGTGAAAGTGAAAGTTCTATTATAGAGGAAGTAAAGACAGAATACAGTATGTCAGAATCAACTACTCCTGTCAAAAGTCGCAAGTAAGTTTACTGTCAATTTACATTCATGAAAAGTTTGCTGACAATCTAAATTCATGTTAGGTAACTGCTATGAAAAAGAGGCATGAACTAAATAAGCTTGATATGATTTTGATTCAATTTCTTTTCTACTGAAATTACTATCAGAAATTGTAGAGTTGCCTCCTATTTTCAACATTTTGATCATCAGAACTACATTAAATTTTAAATGGAACAGCTGTAAAAAGTATGTTTAATGTATTGTACCTGCTAAGATTATCATAATGTTTGCATATTAAACAAGCAAACCTGAAATATTTTTGGAAATTATTATTGCACTTAAAAATTAAAACATTTTCTTATGTAACTAATATTTTTGTAATTAAACAGGTCAAAGGCACCAGATTCTGCCACTATTGAAAGCCAGTATAGTGAAACTTTTGAAGATGCCACCAGTGTTCAACAAACAAAAAGTAAAAAGTCCCCACGGTCTCCGCTTGACAAGCTAAACAAGCGTGGTTTTCAGATGGGGGCTCTAACTGGAAGAAATATCTCCTCACCTCGCTCTTTGTTCAGTAAAACCAGGAGCTGTTCAGAAAGTGAATCAGAGGAATCTATATCACACACAGGTTAGTTCGTTTAATTAGATATAACTGTTGTAAAAGTAGGTCATTACTTTGGAATAAGCAGGTCATCAGTGGATGTGTGTGAAAATAATCTAAATATGGGTGAATAAGCGATATCAATTTCACTTTTTATCTGCTTTGTTGACATAAATATCAAAGAATTGTATTGTAACCACATTGCCAAAGAGGGTGATTTACTGTTTTGACTTTGTCAGGTCTTCAGTTCATCTGTAAATGTCTTTACTTATTACTCAGCTTCTATTTCAAAAAATTATATAATACTTGGTTTGGAACTTTATACTGAGGAGCTGTAAAGTGAAATCAATTTTTATGTCTACTAGGCAGTCATTTCATGTTTGACACACGTTATGAAAATGTTATTGTACCTACTTAGCATGAATTTTTTTTGCATAAATTCATGAGCAAATTTTTTTCCCCCTGACTTTCATTATAGCTAAATTATAAATTTTCATTGTTCATTGGTAAATGTTAAGTTTTTGTGGTTTTGTCAGTTTATTAGATACTATGAGCAGTAAGTCAACTATATTTGGTGTATGTGTCACCGAGGTCCAGAGCACTGTTAGGTAAGGGGAGTTAATTCACATGTACCTGAACCAAGGGACAGGGGGTCAGCTTATTGCTAGACTTTAAGATGTTTATTTATCTTTGAAACCATCCCTTCCTTAGTTCTTTGTCTTTTTTTCATTTGTACTTGCTAACTACATAACGCAAAAGTGAAAGAAAATTATGTATTTACAGAAATAGTTAATAAAGTGAAAATAACAATTTTCCAATGAAATTGTATGAATATTATTAGATAAACATATAACATACTTACGAAGGACACTCTTCAGTATAAAAGGACATACCTAGTATTCATTATTATTCGTTGGATACCAATTTACATGTATTTCGCTGGTACAGGTGAACTACAAATTTTAAATTTAAATTAAAAGTACAAATTTTCTATAGGTTCATAGGCACAATTTTGTTAAACCATGAAATCAAATATCCACGAAAATACAATTTCTTTAAACCATGAAAACTGGTTCCTTCAAAAATAAATGAATCCACAGTAATTAATGTCGTATGCAAACCATGTACAAACATATGATGCTCTCCTTAATGTTTTGTTGTTATGTTTCTTCCTCCATATGTTTTTTTTCTTTTTTGTACTGGACGTTAAGCAACCAACAATCAATCTATCTTTTTTGTATTGTGTATTTAAGCTTGAATAGTACTGCATTTCTACTTAATACTTTTATAGATTTATCCTATGCTGAAACTATGTCTGATCTCAGCGATTTCGAAGGTCGTGTACGAGCCCTGAATGACGAACTTCGTCATCGAAAACAAGTTGCTGATCGACTCAAAAGAGAGAGAAAAAGAAGGAAGAGGGAAATACTGAAAAGTAAAGAAGATGCATTAAAGAAACAAATAGAGGTATTACACGGTCTTTAAGAAATTTAGGATAAACAATCATATTTATACTAAAAGCAAACTTAATTATTTTTTATCTTTGGGTTGCTGTCTCTGCAATGTACCCAACATCTTCTTTTATTCACAGTGATGGAAAAATGAAGACTTTAAAATATAAGCCAGCTAGCAATTTAGCTGTCAGTTTAAAAGAGCTAAGAAAGAATTCAGCAACATTATCCTGGTCATGGCACCAAAATAGTTGAAGAAGTCGCTGATACTTTGCATTGTTTTACTTTATTGTATTCTCTTTTGAATACCCACCTGGCATTTGGTGTAAATATATTTGATATATCTGTGCATCAGACAAGGTAGGGCCCAAGTTGGCTTAATTCCAATAAATCCACCAACTACTTTTGGATATTACAAATGTTATAAATGTTCATCCTGAAAATGCATGAAATGGTTGCCATTGGATCTCTAGCAAAAATCAATCAAACCTATGTACAAGTGCTAAAAGGGTAGAACATCATATTTTCAAATGATATATATACTGTTAGGCCTTACTCCCATTTTGATGGTGTTTTCTATCTCTTAAGAGGGACTTTTGACTACTAAAGAACAAATTAAGCACAACTCTTTCCGTTATAAAGGAATAAGCAACCCTATTTAGACACACTCCCCTATCAATAACTTTTTTAAATTATTTGTATTATTTTAAGTCCAGTTTTATTATAATTTGAAGAAAGCTTGTTTATTGATTAAAGTTAAATCTACTAAGCAAAAAATATTTGTAAAAAAAATTCAACAGCTGCAACATGTCACAATGTGTAAATGACTAAAACTTTCAAACATTTTGATATTTCAGGCTTACGACAACCAGATTAGTCAGCTGAAAACTGAGCTACAGAAAGAGATGGAACATGAACCTGTAAATAGTGTGAAACCTCAGATCAAACAACCTAAAGTCAGTCCTACCAAGAACCTCAAAACACCCCTCAAACAGAACGATGAAGCTCGTACTTCTAGTAACTCAAGCTATGATGAATCTGCTCAGAGTTCTCCGTCAATTCTTGATGATAAAGGTAAATTTATCTTACTATTTTTTCAAGGTTTCTGTAAAAAAAAAAAAAAAAAAAAATCCAATTGCATAAATTTGTATTGTAACACAAGTTTGTGCCTCATTATATGAGGACACTTCAAAAAAAAATTATTGGGTGGGGAATGTGAGGCACTCAATTAATTTAGATTGGGTGCTTGCATTTTCCTTAGAATTTTGTAAGAATTATAGGTAAAATGAAAATATTTATTTTATGGGTGGTTGGGGGTCTTAAAAAAGTGCCTATCACCCACTCGTGTGTTTTTTTCTGGAACAACCCTTAGTAAATCGCACAAAACAATTTAAAATGATGTTCAGTCTGAAATTAAGTGAAAGTCATGTAGAGCTAATTAGTACAATAAACTTATCATTTTGTCAACCCTGTATAAAAAAAATTCCACTAAAATCTGAAAAGAAGTCTTTCTGTATGAAAAAGAAGTACATCAGAATAGCTATTTGATTTATAATTTAAAAGTTAACAACCATAATTCAATATATATGATAAAGTATACTATTTGATTTTTTATGTCCCCACAAGAAAAAGAGCTTGCTCAGTATTTTTTAAAGCTATTGTTGAAGTCATAAAAAATATGAGAATTTCTTTTCTTATAAATTTTCCGTCTTATTGTTTCAGAGAGTAAACCAATTTCACCTGACCAAAGACCAACACCTCCAAAATCACAAATTCCTACAAAAATTTCATTGGACAAAATTTCAGAAGGAAGTGAATCATCCAAATCTCTGGCGACAGTAGAGTCAAAGAAGAGAGTTACAAATGGAGAAGATGAATCTATTAAAGAAGAACTTACTGAACAAATTCAAGAAGAAATTTCTGAAGCAGACAGTTTCACAGACAGATCAAAAACTTCATCCGCATTGCTTAAAATACCTAAATCTCAAAAATCTGAGGTGAAAAGCCCAAGAGAGGATACTGATAGGAGTCCAAGGGACTACTCTTATCAGGATGACTTTACTGAAGAGATGACATCTCATAAACAGATAACAAGTGCCCGAAGCTTGCCGCCAGAAAATGTAGACTTGAAACCTCAACCATCTCCACGATCAATTACAGAAAATGTGATTTCGGAAGTGATAAGTGAACATGTATACAGCCATGCTGATGATGATGAATCATTTATTAAACCTTTGGATAATGTCCATAATGATAACAATGAGTATGACGAGAGTGACATTGAACCAAAGTCACCTCCTTCTACAACAAAAACTGATTCACGACCATCCAGTGGTAAAAGTATTTCAAGTTTCTTTGAAGAATCTGAATCTGACCGATCGGAAATAGAAAAGAAGCCAACTCGTATTACCTCCCCTGATAAATCTACCGATGAATCTCCTATACAAACTGCCCGTCCTTCTATGATTCCTGGAGGTGTATTTGATATAGATCAATTAATTGGACCAGATCAAGAATTCGATGAGGACGAGGAAACACCATTGGCTTCTCCTAGAGATGAGGAGCCTCCATCTACTACCGAAGATGATGAAAGAACAGAAGATTTCGTTGACTATACTGTTGGAGATCGTGTTCAAGTAACAGGTCCTAATGGCACAAAAAAATGTGGTACTCTCATGTTCAAAGGACGGGTAAAATTTGCCACAGGTATTTGGGCGGGAGTCGAATTAGAATCTCCAGAGGGGAGAAATGATGGAACGTATGATGATGGTCAGCGGTATTTCACATGCAGACAAAATCATGGAGTAATGGTCCCAGCAAATGACCTGTCTAATGCTCCTCTTCCAAAAATGAGGACAAGCCAGGAAAGTTTAATTAGGAGTAGTATGGAAAGTAATTTAAGTGGAGATATGTCTGTTGACCAGGATGATTTAAATCAACTTATTCAAGAAGTGGATGAGAATGTACAAAACTTTGATGATGATCAACATAAACAGGAACAGGAACTGTTGGCTGACAAAATTACAGATAAAATACTGGTCGACTTGGTAGAGAAAGAACGCAATTTTATATCAAAGAAAAATTCTCCGCCAGTAGCTCCCAAACCTCAGCGAACTAAAGACAGTGTTCTACAGAATGGTTCTGAAAACATTTTAATGAATGGTAATGCAAATGAGTTAGAAAAGGAAAAGTTTGTAACGAAAAATTTAAAAAGTGATAATTTGACAAACAAACTTGTAGACACGTTATTAGATGATGCTTTGACTAAAATGATCACAACTAGAAACAAACAACGAAACAGGGGCGGAGAAGTTACTAATCTTATAGATTTCGATGATTTTCCTGAGGAGCAAAAGGAAATTAAATCAGAAATGACACCATCTGAAGAACTTCTTGTTGTCTTAAATAAACCTGAACCAACTAATGTGCCTTCTGATGTACCTCCTCGACCAGGGTCGCCATTGCCAGATCCTAAAGGTTCTCGACAGGTATGGTACAATATATTTACCTTTATTATTCTATAGTTAAATACCAACTGTTTTATTCTTACAAAAGAGGAGACTGGTTTTTATTGAAACAAATGAAATGACAGCATGTTTTTGAGTTTTGTGAAGAAAAAAAAATTAGATATAAAACTGGCTATGGTATGATTGCCAATGAGAAAACTATCCACAAATTCTAAATAATGTGGATGTAAGCAACTATAGGTCATCATATTTGAAACAAAATAACCAATGACCTGATGAATTATGTGTATATTTTTATTTTCTTGATCAGCCAAAAAAAGAAATGGTGGTTAAAGTAACAACACACACAGTTAAGAAAATCAGGATTATTAAGTAAATTGTCAAAAGGCAAACATTTATTTTCCCTTTAAAAAAATATTTTATGTTCTGATTTTTATACGACCGCAAAAAAAATTTGTGGTCGTTTATTGGTATGACGTCGTCGTCGTCGTCCGAAGACACATTGGTTTTCGCACTCTAACTTTAGTTTAAGCGAATGGATCTCTATGAAATTTTACCATAAGGTTCAATACCACAAAAGGAAGGTGGGGATTGATTTTGGGGGTCATGGTACCAACAGTTAAGGAATAAGGGGCCAAAAAGGGGCCAAAAATAAGCATTTTTGTAACTTCCAGACATAACTTGTGTGTTAGTGTATGGATCTCTCTGACATTGTACCACAAGGTTCCATATCACAAAGGGAATGCTTGGATTGATTTTGGGGTAATTGCCTCTAAATTTTAGGAATTAGGGGCCAAAAAAGGGGCAAAAAACAAGCATTTTTCTAGTTTCATGACAATAACTTGTGTGTAAGTGTATGGATCTTTCTGAAATTGTACTACAAGGTTCCATATCACAAAGGGAAAGCCGGAATTGAGTTTGGGGGTAGTTGCCCAAAATGTTTAGGAATTTGGGGCCAAAAAGGGGCCAAAAAACAAGCATTTTTCTAGTTTCCAGACAATAACTTGTGTTCAAGTGTATGGATCTCTCTGAAATTGTACTGCAAGGTACCATACCACCAAGGCTGGGATTGAGTTTTGGGGTGATGAATCATAAGGGGGTTTAAAAAATTGTGGGGGGGGGGGGATTTTTTTTTCCTTTTTTTTTCTTTAAAATTTTCCATTTTAAATTGGTTATTTCTGATTTATATATAAAAGCAAATAATAATGATATGGTTTGAATAGGTAAATTAAAAAATTTTAAGTTCTTAGACCACATTCATTCTGTGTCAGAAACCTATGCTGTGTCCAATATTTAATCACAATCCAAATTCAGTGCTGTATCAAGCTTGAATATTGTGTCCATACTTGCCCCAACTGTTCAGGGTTCGACCTCTGCGGTCGTATCAAGCTGCGCCCAGCGGAGCATTTTATTTTTTTATATGAATATTCATTAAAAGAAGTTGAAACTGCTGTAAATTCAAAAATTACTGCAAACATTTATAAATACAATGACAAAAAATAGATATTTGTGTGGATAAAATCTCAAATCAATGAGTTAAGATTCATTTGCTAACTGACGCCATCAAGCATAACAGCAGCACTGAAACAAAGCAGGTCAACTATAAACATGACGAAAATTGTTTTGTTTCCTAGTTATGCAAATTCAAAAGAAAAATTAAATAATACCAAAATGTAGTTATTTTAATGGTTTATCATCAGTTATGAATGTTGTTTTTCAGAATCACTTGAAAACATTACAACAAGACATCACTGATCTGTTAGGAGGGGAGGAGGAGTATATAGACGATGATATTATTAAGCCTGATAAACCTCCCCCTCCTTATCCTGAAAGTGAAGGTAAAATTATTTAGTATTTTTATTGATATACTGTGATAAATTTGTTTAAATTTAGAATATGAAAAACTTTTGTTTAAATTTCATTACCCCGGTATATGGGATGAAACAGCAAATGGCATTCAGAGGAAAACTATTATCTATCCTGACAGTTTCTGTGGGTTCATTTCTTTTCGTTGATGCTAATTTTCATGGATTGAAGAAAGACCACATTATCAGTGAAACTTGATTTCGTGTTTATGATAAATTCACCATGGAAACCCTATAGAAAACTTATGTTAATCTCTGATATTTGTGGTTTACCCTTAATCCACCAATAATAATGAATCCACAGTACCTTATAGCGAGTTATTATAGCGGGTGTAAAATTTCACGATTTTCATTGAATAAGGTATAGAAAATGTTTTGGCGGTTATTATTTTGGTGGATTCAAAACTTTTATACAATACCATTGCATGTACACTTTTAAATTGGCAGAATTTATGTTGGCAATTTTGTTCTATCCATGAAAATAAGCGAAAATTTACACCCCGCGAAAATAACTCGCTATACAGTATTATATTCTTAAAACAAATGTGGCATCTATCTCTCTGTATTTGTATTATATTGGAAATGAACTCAAATATTGCTGAGTAAACTTTCTTTCTTCGTGACACATCAAGGAATGAGTATGCTTTCTTTACACGTGTTTGTGATATTAAAGTTATAATATGATTGTCAAAACTGTAAAGCCATGTCTCAAAAGAAAATTCTAATACATGCCAATAAAAATCTGTTCCGACATTTGGTTTATATGCTTGTCTGATATCGCCAAAAGGTTTGAAGCTACTATCTGAATGATTATGATGGAACACCTCCAAGTCAGAATCTCTCAAAAATGTAACCATACTTTATGCATGTTGGCTTTGGGAGGCAATGATAGAGGTCAACAGACTTCTGTTTTAGATCAAAGACTTGAACAGGATTTCTAAACATAAAAACACACTTTTGATTACTTCTTCATAAAGGCACCAAACATTTTCAGTTCAAATGGCTCATAGATACTTCAGTGCACATCAGTTTAAAGTTACTAGTATCATTTCCATTTTCATGCAGTTAATATAGAATAAAACAAAAACAAAATTTATCCTTACAGAGCAAAGACTAATGAAAGCTGAACTTCAAAAAATGGTGTCGGAAGACCTTTACTATGCAGTGCCACATGAGTCGGAGGAAGTCCGTGGCATTGTGGCGGATGTTGTCGAGATTTATTGGCAGTCGAGACGTTGTGGTGAACCGTTAGACAATGTTCAAATTCCAGATAATTATTTTTCAAAAGAGGACATTAATGGTGATTTAGATAGTAATAGCAGACGGGTGTTTAAGACATTACTGTTTGACTTAGCAGGGGAAGTGATTAGAGACATTTATAAAGACGAAGAGGAGGAACCGCCTCCGTGGCAAAAACCTAAACGTAGACAACAAAAACATTTCCGAGGTGCTTCACCTCCCACAACGATGGAAAATTTGACTCCTATTGTTCAGCAAGCTGTGATAAACACTCTAGGTTTGAATGGCTCTCGCAAAGCCGACCGAAATAAATGGACGGTGCGTAAACGAAAGGATCACGTAGACAATATTCTTGTTGAAGAATTACGAGAGGAAGAACCAAGGTGGATAAACTATGATGAGGACGAATTAGCCGTCAAAATGCAACTGACTGATACCATATTTGACATGTTATTGAACGATACTGTTCAAACTATGAACAAAGTGTATCAGAAAAAGAAAAGTAACAGAGTGTGATCTATGTTTATGTGGTGAATCATGAAAACATAACGTGGTTGTAAGCCCTGAAAGAAAGATGTTCGTGTTGCATTCATATAGCAAGTAAGGTTGTCATGTGACACTCATGTGATATTTTGTACGGGAGGTGGTAGTCATGTGATATTGTTACAGACTTTGTAAATAGAATGACTATTTATTTTTTGTATAGAAGTTAGGCGAGATATCCAGTGATATTGTGTGGTGCTATTTATGGAGGTCATTTCTAGATTTTATTCATCATTTTGATAAAGAAAAATACGGAATTAGAACAACATTCCTGTTATTCATTCACTTGAGTTTCAGATTTGCAAGCAAATATTTGGTTAACTGATCTATTGAAGAAAAACATTGACCTATGGAATTTATATTTGAATAAAAAGGACACTACTGAATTCAGTTTGTGAAAAAAAAAAAACATGTTCATAATCATGAAGTTCCTTAAAGAAAGAAGCACTTGGTAACAAAATCATTTTAGATAATTATATATCATTGTTTGAAGTTGAATGACATTTAAAACTTTTTAGAACAATTATATAGGGTTTTGAGAATGCAACCATACCTTAAAAAAAAGCACCAAAAACATTTGCTCAAACATATTTGAGTTGCTTCCCTTTGCTCATATTCAACACTATAAATGAGTACTATTAAAATGGCATATATGAAAAAACATTCCGTCCAGTCATTATCATATCATTACTACATCAAATTCGATGCTGAATAATCTCATTGTTAAAATGGCTGAAAAATCCGTCCTCATGAAATCCCACCTCATTTTTGTTGTATACTGCAAAAGTAAACCTTTTACAATTAGCATTATGTTTATGAGAATAATAACTAGATTTAACATTAATGTATTGAAAAGGCACAATTTTTTTTTTGTGTAGTTTGAATTTTAACAAAATTTCAAACACTGCCATAGTAAGTATAGATCTAATCATCTTAATTGTTTTAAACTTTGATTTTGCAAGCATGGATAAATTAACTCTTAATTCGAAAACAAAGAAGAATGTGTGACCTCTGTCATTCGAAAACTAGCTCAAACGGCACAAGTATCCTGCCTTGCCTTCAGACAAAGGTTTGATGATAAAGAATTGATAGTAGTCTGTATTTTAGAGATTGTAATTTTGTAGATTAAGACTTTCATGCAAAACAATTATATGAAATGGGAGATTTGGCAAAAATTAAAACTAATCAAATTTGTTCAAGCAGTGAAATTGGAAAATATAATCTTGTATGAATTTCAAGACTTCCTGTATGTGAAATTTGTGTGTTACTTTATTTTTGTTTAATACACAGAATTAGCATTTAAACTTTGAAATGGATTAGTTTGTTTTTTGTAGAAGAAAAAAAACATATATCCGGTTCTGTTTAATTATATTTATTATGAGACAGATAATGCATTTATTTTTGTGTTTTTAAACTGAGGCATTTAAATTTCGATTCATTTAAATCTAGGATTTTAAAAGGTGCACCTGCTGCTTGTTTTGTATTTTATAAGACTTCATTAATGGTTTGTGTTAGTTTGTTTATTTCAAAGGGAATCCAGGATTTTTAAAAGCAGGCCAAACATTCCAGGAAAACTTGTTCTCCAATCTTTTTTTTTACAATGTAAACAAATTTATATGCATATAAGCATATGGTCACCATGGCAATACAATAATAAAATTTAGGAAATACAGTGCTATCTTGTAGTGCCAAACATTTCTATGTGCCACTTGTATTGTATTGATTATTGTTTTGTTTTTTTAAATTGAAATTTACTACATTTATATTTTACAAAATGTCAATGTAATAAAAAAAATTCTACAGAAAATACGGTTGAACATTTTTCATCTTAAGCATAACAAGGTTTATGATATTCAATGCCTGTTTCAAATTTTTAAGGTAAAACTTTGTCTCTAATCTGTGCTATGGGAAGATTACAGTTTTGTTTATTGATTTCAGTGCTTTTGATCAGAATTATTTGTGGCATCTCAGATGGTTCAAATACTGTGTAAATATTAACTATAAAGGGAAATAACTCCAAATAATTCCTCAGCTTTATATTTGACAACATATAGTTTGTATATTCTTAGAGGGCAGCATCTGTTTATATCTGTAGATGTCTATTTATTTATTACATTGTATACAATGTACAGAATTTTTTATTTATTATATTTATTAGATCTTGTACAAGTCGTTATACTTTAAAGAAACTCAATATTTGCCCTGTAAAATCCACCGAGGTTTACATGATATTATTATATATTGTTTATATAAATAAGTTATGTTTTATATTTGTTATAAGATCTGATTTTAGCAAAAAATATGTTTAATAAAGTTGCTGTTTTATGTTTTGAATGTGGCATTAAATCAGTTTTTGTTTTCTCAAGAATCAATCAATTTTGACAAATTTGTTAATGAATTACTGAACTTGTTTTTATTTTCTGTCTCCTTTCTTCTAAATGTTCGTAATAAATGACTATTACTTTAAAGTCTATAAAGCAAGATATATTCTTTTGGAAGGTTGTGCACATGGAAATATAGATTTTGGGTTTTTATTAATATCACAAATAACAAAAGTAATGATTTCTGGGAATTATATATAACATTTATAATGGGGTTGAATACCAAATTTGATTGATGCCTTGTTGTTTCCCCCAAAATATGAAGCTGGTTTTTCTTGTTAGACAATTAAATCTGAAGAAAATTTACTGTGCTGTGTTATGACCAAAGATCTGCAACAATGTTTAGCAAAATTTTACAGACCATTCCTTTCTCAATTGCAAAAGAATTGTACTTAAAATGTGATTTCTTGGTAACACTGGATTAATTCATTTAACTCTTACCGTCTGATCTAATTTCAACCATACTAGGTGACAAATGAATATATTTACAAGGTACTGATTTATCAATGTACAAACATTTCCAATTTTGTTTTGTCAACCAATGAAATTCCCTTATTTAGTCATATGCAAATTAAACCAGATTTCAAAGTTTCAAATGTCATAGTTCCCTCCTTACTTCAGAAAGTTCTGTCCTACAAAGAAACAATAAAATACAAATTAAGTCACTGGCAGATCATTTTATTTCATGTTGATCATTGATATTATTTGCTGTAGAAAGTTCTTCCATTCAAGCATAGAAATAAAACATTTCTAATTTCCTGAATATTTTTCTTTTAATTATTATGGGTTTTTTTTTTGTGACAAGCTGTTTAAAAATTTAGAGAAAGTTTTGTGTTTAAAATTTAAGCCATCATACAAATTTATGATTATATTCTGCAAAGATATTCTAACTTTGCCGTGAAATATAGGGACCAAATTACTCTAAAATATTTCCTGGCTCAGTTTTCCTTAGTGCTCTTGCTCTCAAGAAACACAAGATGTAGTCAGTATTAGTTTTACAATTATGACAAAGTGTTAATTGTCCATTCTATGTTGACAGTGTAATTAATCTATAAATAGATTTAGTCAACAATAATATTTTGTATTTTTTCATAAGAATATTTTGTATATTTGTAGTCATTCATTTCATTTTTGTAATCTATGCAAAAATTGTAACACTTGTGCTTCTCAGCAGTAGAGGCATAGAAAATAAAATCTAACAGAAAAATGACTGTCTACTTGTTTTTATAGCCCCGTTACAAAGTTGTCGGGGCCATATAGTTTTACCCTTGTCTGTCATTCTGCCATTCCGTCATTCCGTAACAAACCATTATACACAATTTTTTTCTATACACCTTCAGATATTGGGCTGATTTTTGGTATGTGAGTTAACCATGATGAGTTACAGATCAAGTTTAAGTTTCGTTCCCCTCTTCTGATTTTTGCCGATATTACGGGCTTTGGACTTTGATAAATTGTTGAAAATCACATTTATACGGACTTTTTTTCTATACGCCTCCAGATTTTGCGCTGATTTTTTATATGCAAGTCTACCATGATGAGTTACAGATCAAATTTATGTTTCGTTCTGCTATGCTGATTTTCATGTCATTTCAACACATCTTGTTAAATCTGCAGTACATCCACTTCCAGTTTGCTGATAGTTTGAAATTTAACTTCTCATTGATCAAGGAAATTTTTCATCAAACTAGTATTGGTCTTGAGAGCTGGATACTATCCATGCATGTTTGTGTCCACATGTGTTTTTGAAATTGCAGATTTTTCAACTTTTTGAGATGGGGCCATGCGTGTTGTTCCGACACATCTAGTTTTACTTCTTTTTCAGCATTACAACTGCAAACAATCAGATTGTTATAACAGGCAAGAATAGTTGCAAAGCATTAAAATTGTAGCAAGAAATTTAAAAATTTAATGGAGATTTGTGCTGAAAAATTCTGTTTAAAGAAACTAATAAATGTTTTTACTGAAAAAACAAAACCTATTAAAATTGGCTTTAGGACTACAAATTCTGTATTTTCCACTTATATCCTGACAGTTTAGTTGTAAGAAAGGTCAGAATCTTTAATGCAAGATTGTTTCTTGATCATTGAATAAAGGGCACTGTTGCAAAAGTTATATTATTTAGTTAACCATGCCAGTATGAGAGTTTTCTTTAACAAAACTAAAACTGCCTAGGTTGTTTTGTGGTAAAGTGCTTGCCTTTGGGTGTGAAAGGTTTGTTCGATTCCCCACTGATTCAAACCAAAGACCTTAAAATATATATTTGCTGCTTTTCTCACAAGGATTAAAAGACTTAACCAGCTCAGAATCTGAATAATGCGTCAAAGTAGAAAGCTTAAACAAGTTTTTTGATTATTTGAGAGATTGGAACTAATATTTCAAGTCTTTCCTTAGGCATCGTCTCACTAGGGTGAAGCCTTGTTAACTACTAAAACTGCATACACTTTAATATAGTTCCCTATACTTTACATGCATACTAATCTTCTCGTTTCTCGTTGTCGAGCCTGCGACTTTTGTCGCAGAAAGCTCGACATAGGGATAGTGATCCGGCGGCGGCGGCGGCGTTAGCTAACTTCTTAAAAGCTTTATATTTTAGAAGGTGGAAGACCTGGATGCTTCATACTTTGTATATGGATGCCTCATGTTACGAAGTTTCCGTCAGTCACATGTCCAATGTCCTTGACCTCATTTTCATGGTTCAGTGACTACTTGAAAAAAAAGTTAAGATTTTTTGTAATGTTAAATTCTCTCTTATTATAAGTAATAGGATAACTATATTTGGTATGTGCGTACCTTGCAAGGTCCTCATGCCCAGCCAGACAGTTTTCATGGATCAGTGAACAAGGTTAAGTTTTGGTGGTCAAGTCCATATCTCAGATACTATAAGCAATAGGTCTCGTATATTCGGTGTATGGAAGGACTGTAAGGTGTACATGTCCAACTGGCAGGTGTCATCTGACCTTGACCTCATTTTCATGGTTCAGTGGTTATAGTTAAGTTTTTGTGTTTTGGTCTGTTTTTCTTATACTGTATGCAATAGGTCTACTATATTTGGTGTATGGAATGATTGTAAGGTGTACATGTCTAGCTGGCAGGTGTCATCTGACCTTGACCTCATTTTCATGGTTCAGTGGTTATAGTTAAGTTTTTGTGTTTTGGTCTGTTTTTCTTATACTGTATGCAATAGGTCTACTATATTTGGTGCATGGAATGATTGTAAGGTGTACATGTCTAGCTGGCAGGTGTCATCTGACCTTGACCTCATTTTCATGGTTCAGTGGTCATAGTTAAGTTTTTGTGTTTTGGTCTGTTTTTCTTATACTGTATGCAATAGGTCTACTATATTTGGTGTGTGGAATGATTGTAAGGTGTACATGTCTAGCTGGCAGGTGTCATCTGACCTTGACCTCATTTTCATGGTTCAGTGGTCAAAGTTAAGTTTTTGAGTTTTGGTCTTTTTTTCTAATACTGTATGCAATAGGTCTACTATATTTGGTGTATGGAATGATTGTAAGATGTACATGTCTAGCTGGCAGGTGTCATCTGACCTTGACCTCATTTTCATGGTTCAGTGGTCAAAGTTAAGTGTTTGAGTTTTGGTCTTTTTTTCTAATACTATATGCAATAGGTCAACTATATTTGTTGTATGGAAGAATTGTTAGCTGTACTTGCTTGCCTAGCATGGTTCATCTGACCTTGACCTCATTTTCATGGTTCATTGGTCAATGTTTAGTTTACTTGGTTAATGTTAAGTTTATGTGACAGTTGTAATAAAGCTTTATATTTAGGACTATCAACATAATATCAATGATTAGTAAAGAAGGCGAGACATTTCAGCGTGTGCACTCTTGTTTTTTATATAGATTAGACCGTTGGTTTTCCCGTTTGAATGGTTTTACACTAGTAATTTTTTGGGGCCCTTTATAGCTTACTGTTCGGTGTGAGCCAAGGCTCCGTGTTGAAGACCGTACTGTGACCTATAATGGTTTACTTTTATAAATTTTGACTTGGATGGAGAGTTGTCTCATTGGCACTCATACCACATCTTCTTATATCTATATATTATGCACACAAATGAATTGAGGAAAATTTGGGATATATTTTTAGAACTTATACTCAAGTATTTATATCAATAGTTTGTTCTCCCCTACGATGAAAGTCTCAGAATGAGGGGAAAAGGGATGCTAATCTATCGTTAATTTTGGTATAAAGCTTTATATCTCAGAAGATAGATGACCTTGATGATTCATACCTTGTATACAGATGCCTTATGTCACATTTCTGTCTGTCTGTGACCTCATTTTCATGGTTCAATGAATGCTTTAAAAAAATAAATTTTAGTCAGTTGAATTTCTGACTTTAACTATATTTGGTATGTTTGATCCTTGCAAGTCTACAGTTCCATCAGACAGGGTTCTCCTGACCTTGACCTCATTCCATGTATCGGGGATGATGGTTAAAGTCTTGTGGTTTGTGTATCTCAGATACAATAAGCAATAGGTCAAACATTGGACTGATTGTAAGTATACATGTCAATCTGGAAGATTTCATCTGACCTTGACCTCATTTACATGGTTCATTGGTCAAAAAATTTTTTAGTTTTTCTGGGTATGACTGTTTCTCAGAAACTATGAAATCAGTTTTCCTGGTTAAGTCCTTTTCTTAGATATTATATATAATAGGTCAACTATATTTTATGTATAGAATGATTGCAAGGTGTTCATGTCTGTCTTGCAGGGTCTCATTAGACATTGACCCCATTTTCATATTTCATATTTCATTGGTCATTTTTTTTTTGTGGTTATGACTTTAAGCAAACGGTCAAAAAAATTTGATGTTTGAAATGTTTGTATGGTGTAGATGCCTCTCTTGCAGGTTTCATCTGACCTTGAACTCATTTACATGGATCCATATGAAATAAGATGTGATAAGGGTTGCCAATTAGACCATCATCAGCAGAGACCAATTGTTAACCAAACGTAGATGTTCGCAACTATAGATCACCGTACGGCCTTAAGTTAATGTGATAATTATAGTAAAACCTTTATCTCCAGACTTTCACATAAATTATATCATAGGCGAGACATTTCAGCCTGTGATTTCTTACTATCAGGATGAACTGATATTTGAAAAATTCATGATCAACCCTTTCAGAGACATAAGTTACAGTATGGAATGTTGGGATCGATTGCTTCAATTTCTATTTTTCCATATAATACTGTACTCAGATTTAGACATTGTATGCCAAGAGAGGTCGGGCATACTAGGATAACACATGACTGCATTAAGAAAAAAACTGAATGTATACTTTGGAATTCCAATTATTGAGTAAAACATGGTTTGATAGAATGTATATGTTAGCGGCAATAAGTGAAATTAGGCATTAAGCTTAAATCCTAGGCAGTAAGACTATTGCCTAAATAATGTTAGGCATTACTCTTAAATCTTGAAAATTATGTCCAGGCATTAATGTTAATGCCTAAAATGAATATGAGAGTAGATAATACGAAATTTATTCAAAGTTAAAATACATTTTGTACATAAAAAAATAATAAGAACTGAAGTTTGAATTTCAATAAAATCATAAGTAAGATATTGATGTTAAAACTCATTGAATAAACCTCTTAAAATATATGTAAACTTGTTGGATAGTTGTCCCATTGGCAATCGCACTACATCTCCTTATTTTTATATTGATATAAAAATTGTATTGAAATTTATTTGTTACCGATTGGTGCGGAGCTATGGCACAGACTTCACAGTTTCATATTTTTTCTATCATTTGTACCTGTTGATCGTCCAATACCTTTGTGTAGAGCAGAAATATTTTGAATATGGACGAATTTGATTCCAATTGGCCACTGTTAATTCGTTGCTCCTCATCAGTGCAGTAAGCATGTCATGAATATTTCGGTTTGACCACTCAATACTACAAGTAGTTGTGGTTGGAGATGTATTGGCCTCCCGTGAACAATAACTATAGTTCTGGCCACATTATCATTAATTCAGATATAACCTTAGCTGTAAATTCACGACCTTTGTCACCTTGCTGTTTATGTGGCACACCAAATATTGTGAAAACAATGCATTTTTTTGCGTTAGAGCTCTAGAAATATAATTTTTGTTAGGTGATCTTGGTACACCATAAGAAAATATAGTTTCCATCTCACTTTCATTGGAAATCGATTAAATCAACCTGTACTCTTCTGC